TTTCCTGACAACTTTTTCACCCTGCTCCAGGTCTGTCCACATGCTTTCATCTCCTCCTCGCATGACCTCCTCCAAGTCACCCTTGCACTGACGACCAACTCGCCGCCTCCCTTTTGGGTTCCACTCGGGCGATGGCTTGTCTAGTGATGTCACTTGATGGTTTCCTCAGCGTATGGCCAATCCATCTCCATTTCTTTCTGCCTATTTGTTTCACAATCGGTTCCTGATTGGTTCGCTCCCAGAGATCCCTGTTGCTGATCTTTTCTGGCCATCTGATCTTGAGTATTGAGAGAAGACAGCTGTTGATGAAGGTCTGTAATTTGTTGGAGATGCTCTTTATGACGCGTCAAGTCTCTGATCCGTATATTAAGTAGCAGTGACTTCACATTGGAGTTGAAAATCCGGATCTTATTTTTGATGCTGAGTGCTGTTGACCTCCACACAGACTTGAGAGTAATGAAAGCTTGTCTTGCTTTTCCGATTCTAGCTTTGATATCGTCGTCAGTTCCGCCTGTAGTTGAGACGATGCTTCCCAGGTAGGTGAAGGAGGTTGTTTCTTTCAGGTTCTTCCCATTTATGCTTATTGTTGTCTGTTGTTGTTGTTGCTGTTGATGTTGGCTAGGAATCTTCATTATCTCTGTTTTATCTATGTTCACGTGAAGTCCTATCTTTGATGCTTCTTCTGCCAACTTGTTACTTTTCACTTGCATATCTTCCAGTTTATGGGAAATCAGACATATATCATCGGCGAAATCCAGATCCTCCAAGTCTTTTGTGTCAGTCCATTTTATGCTGTGACTATGCTAGTATCGGTCCGTTTGAATGAACGAAAGTCAATGGTCACTTTGGTGAGGACAAGCCAACTTAGTACAAGAGTGTAATGGTTAAACTGACTTGCATGAATAAAGGCCTTTCAAGTTTAAAGTTACTATTTGAATGTCATTATCTTTGGTGTAATTCACTCTGTTTCTACGCTTGGTTGGTCAGATACGTCGTACGTTTCTTAGTCGTCTACATTCAACGATACAATGTCATGGGCGTGTCACTATTCAAAGTTGAGGATAAAGATGACAGAAGGAGGTCAGCAAATGAAATCTGCGACGATTTTCCAACCTAGGGCGTCAACATGAGAAGGGTTGTGGCCGTACTGCGGTAAGTCCTATAATTCTTCAAAGGAGTTCCATCAAGACATGATCTGCAAGGTTATGTGTACTGTTTGTATATATGCGTGATGTGTCATATCAATTGGTGTTTTGGGATTCACTGTGTTTACTTGTTGTTTCGCATAATTGTGTTAAAATTTTCGTCGTGCTTACTTCTGAAGTTGTTTCTAGTCTTCTACATCCGTGAATGAATTGATTGATGTTAAGGACATCAGATGGGTCGTATACGCCGTGGATGCTAGTGCTGAGAATGACATGCACACGTAGATAAGGATTAGCTGTGGAATCAATGATCGAATATGAATGTTTCCATTTAGGCTGTGATCCCACACACCAAGGAGCGAGAGTGTGGACAACTGAGGCTTGCATACGTAACCGTTACTAGAACTGAGGTAGAATGAGTGACAGGCGATTGCAGTGGTAATTAGTAGTGACTAGATAAGAGGACGTGAGAAGAGTCTCATGAGGTGCTGCTTTGGTCACGTTGCTTTCTGCAAGAGTCATTCTAGTAAGTGGAGGTTGTGTTGCAATACGTCAAGAGGATCCCTTTAACTGGAAGGCGTAGGTCGTCATCGATGCGAGAGATTGTGCTGTGAGTATGCTTGTGGTGTGTTGTCTCTGCTGTTTGTTTTATATTTAGGCTTTGTCCGTGTGACTCAGGTTCTCGCAATGGCATCCAAGTCAACGTGTATTGCATGGAGGATTTAATCATGAGCTGACATCAGTTAGAGAACCACTGGAAAACATGGGAGTACTGGACAGGTGTTTCGTCCTAGTTTGGGACTCTTAAGCGTGTATTGGTCGTGATGAAAAAAGGGATGGATCCATTTTTTGCCAGGGAGTGTCAGTGTAGTTGAAGACTGAACGATCAATTCATGGTTGTTTGCTCAAACCCAACTCCTCCATAATTTTCGCGGGATTCATCGATTCTGCAGCCATCGTTCCATCTTTCTCTGGTCGTTAGATGACGGAGAAATACTATCAGAAGTACTATTGTGATCTACTGTTATGACATTTATTCTTAGACTTTGCCTATAATATCCTTATTTTTGTTCCATATTGCTGCAAGAATAAAGGATTCTCGAGTCACCAATCTGTGTTCTGCTTTTTCGCGTTGGTTATTGCACATTGTTTCTGAAGGTCTTCAAAGGACGGTGTTAAGTTCAGTGTATTCAGACCTGAACAATGACGCGCTATGGCTGCAGAAAGGCATGCATGTCGACAACAAACTCAAAAGATGCCTTGAGTGATATCATCCTGTTCTCAAGTTATACTCCGTTCTTCTTTACAATAAGCTTAACTTTCGTGTTTCAGAGTCTTGGATTATGTCTCACAATATCCAAGCTCGATTTTGCATGATGAAAACGACTGAGCATTGATGACTTGACTGAAGACACAAAACATCTCTCCAAGCTCAAACTCCATGTGTTTTTCTTTGCAAAATACGTAGTGAGATGCAGCAAAAGTAATCGTGACGAAATGGTATCAAATGTCCATCAGGAAGGCATACATTTCCAGAGGACAGTCCTAGGGCAGAATATCGACAAAAGCGAAACGCAACACTGTTACTGTGTAACATATAGGTAAGTAGCAGCGAAAACATGAAGTACCATTCGACATAACTAAATCAAATGCTAGATTGTCCCATACAGAGTTTTATTAAAATAATAATGTTGAGGACTTGAGAATGTTTTTTAAAAAGTATATGAATTGATTACATCGCAAATCTTGATTCAAAACTCCAAGCATACGGATAGCTAACGGAAGCGTGAATTCGAATAAATAATATGAGCAATAGTGAAAGATGAACAACGAAACTGTCGGATTCACATAATAGTGAAGAATAGGACGTAAATCATTATATTATTTTCATTATTCATAAATAGTCGAAAGAAGCACATTAGGGTCAACTGTTCAGTAACACATGAAAACGAAGTCAAGCGTTAGGGAATGGAAGCGACTGTAAACAAGGACATATGAAAACTGAATCAGAAGATGCGAAAAATATCGGCAGTAAACCATAGCAAATATAAAAGAGTTAGAATTTTCAAATAGGTACCTGTACCGTAGGCACATTTTTTAGTTAAAATTTTTGTGTCAGCCATTCAGCTACTGTCAATGGAGTTGAAGATTGAACGATCAATTCATGGTTGTTTGCTCAAAACCAACTTCCCAATTTTCGCGGAGGCATCAATACGACAGTCATCGTCTCATCGGTCGCTGTTCAGAAAGAAGAGTAAAAAAACTGTCAGAAGTAATATTGTGATTTATTATTGTAATATTTGTTCACAGACCCTAGTCATACTTGATTTATATGTTGGTGTAACAATACAGAATACTCAAGTCAACAATTGGTGTTTTGGTTTTTTCGTCCGTTATTACTAAGTGTTTCTGAGAAACTTCAAGCGACAGCGTGAGCCTGAGCGTAGCAAGAGCTGGGCATTAACGGTTTACGAGACGTGACTGACAGCTACAGTTTCTGCAAGTGCCTTGAAAATTTTCCAAATTATGAAACTGGTGTGTTGCCACCAGTAAATTGTGAGCCTGCACGATTCACGTGTTTCTGTCTCTGTCGAATGATCTCACTGTATTATTCATTTGACTAGGCTTGTAATCTGATCATTTGTAGAATGTTAGAGTCATGAATTAGTTGTTTATCTCATGTGTGATTAGTAGACGCGTGCAGTCCATTGTAGTATGTTCCACTCATAGTTCCAACACCCAGTAGTTATAAATGTCTCAAGTATTGCAATGGAATTCTATCACTCAGGGCATTCTTTTAAATAACCTCCCCATGCACTTTTTCGGGAGAGTTAGAGGCGGCTGAGTACCTCTTGACTGTATACACCACGAGGCTTTTCGGTTGGAGAGTGCAATATCCTCTTAGGAACTTATCTACCAACTGGATAAGGTAACATCAAACGCAGCATTGGTATCTAGTGGTCGTCAACTTCACCTTAAGTAGAACAGTGTCCCACTTAGCCGGATCACAACTTCTCATTAGGCTAGTAACCGTCTATAATTTCGCCCTATTGGTTTTAGAGTCGATGGCAGATGTGCCGTCACATAAGTGAGACTTTCTCACAAAAGAAACGCACGATACACCTAAGCTTCAAGAATCTGACAAAGACGAGAATCAAATACAGTGAAGTATTAATTAAACTCAGAAAATACGGCAGCGGATGGCTCGTTGCAGACTAAGTGATGTCTGTCTACTTTAGTATATTTTTATGGTTATTTTCGTTGCCCATCTGGTCCAAAGTAAAATCACTACACTTGGAACCACTGGGATAACTTGGAATTTTTTCCATTAAGTGTGGAGAAAGATACATATGAGAGGCAACACAGATAGATACATAGTGGTATGAACTCACTCAGGATGCTGTTGTTAAACAATTGGTAGGAGAGAAAATGTTGGTGAATTTGCAGAGACCAGATACTGATGGCTGCATTTTGTTGTGGTTGTGGATTTCCGAAATTTTCGCCATCCCTAATGAAACTATATAAGCCGGCATGAGTATTATATTCTCTCCTCATCGGTAAAGACGACACAGGAAGTACCCTCATCAGATTGCCATAAGTTATTCTGAAGATTCATCGAATATGTGTAGGCAAGGCGCAGTTCTAGAAGGACGTGTGGTCGATCATCAACGATGTACGTTACTTCGACTTGGAACAGTCAAGATTGATATCTGATTTCAAATTCTGGGTCAGGTTCAGACTACTAACTTTATGAGGTTGTTCACTATTATGGTGGGGAATGAAAAAAACAGTTCTTGTGGAGGTGACAGCTTTCTAGTGTTTAACCTTCGAATATTGACCATTTAAAATTTGGTCCTAGAGCATTGGCGGTGGTTGTACGTAGACGCTACTAGCGTCATGTGTCTTAGTAATGTTAGTGAATATGAATGATGACTTCGGAGATGCTATGTTGAGTTCAGACCAACTGATGTCAGTTGGTCTTGGTGGTCTTCGTAACATAGGGAACACATGCTATATGAATGCTGCTTTGCAAGCCTTATCAAATTGGTAATTTCAAGTGATTACCTTATTCATAGCTTTTCAGCCCTCATTTGACGGAGTTCTTTTTGGAGTGTCATGATATTCTCGACCCTAATCGGAAGCTTGTTCTTCTATCTCACTATTATACTTTGCTTTCTGAATTTTGGGGGAATGAAAGGTAACAAAGTTTTGTGTTTGAAAACAAATTTGTAATTCTTGGAACTCATAAAATAGCACCCACAACGATAGATTTACTGTTACTATAATTCATATTTTATGATTAAGTTATAGTTCACAGTGCATCCGTTGTCATAGGGCAGCTAGTCAGACGTTATCCGGAAGACCAATGTTCATGATATTCGAAATAAGTTTTTTACCTGATAGAAGTACTTAATCAGAACTACACTTACTAAGCAGTTTTATCTATTTATAAGGTTACATGCATTGAGTTTATAGGTCAATTGAAAGTTTAGCCAGAGTGGGTTTTTACTTGCCACCATAAATGTTCGTGAACCATTTCGCCGACTTTTCATATTCATTTGTTTCATTCACCCAAGGTAACCGTACCAGGTGCTTTGCACATCTTTGACTTGAAGTTAGTGATTCTTTGGACGGATGCCACACTTCTCTGTTCATCGCGGTTTTCCATATCCATGCTCTGGCTGATATTGATGGTTGCAATAGGTACTGGTTGACGCCGATTCACAGGTTCTCGGATTGATTGACATTTTTTTTATCAGTACTCTTTTGTAAGTGTTACTTACAGCCACAATATTTTTAATTATGCCAACGTGAAACCATGTACTTTGGTCATAATCAAATCAGACGCCTTTCCTGGGACGCTTATTTTCTCTAATCCATAGAATAAATTTACTCAATGGGATTACTATGAATTTTCGTTAAATTTTCGGAAGTAAGTGCGAGGTCGTGGTTTGTCAAGTGATTTGAGCTACTTGGCTTTGTATCATAAGTGCATACTCATTAATGTGGTTTCAGTCGTAATTATCTCAAGTATTTGTAGTTTGTAATTGTGGGCGTAATTTCTTTATCCTTATGTTTAGCTTAGGCATTATTCCATATCGGTAGTTTGTTAATGTTTAATTGACCTACTGAGTTCTTTCAAACTTGTCGAGATTAAACAGGATTTTCCACGCAGATTGTTGTCGTACTACATTTTTGTCTTACATATTCTTATATTGACTTTTTATCGCTTCATTTAGACAACGTTGCTTCAACGCAAATACGATTTTGGATGCCTTTTGCATTACCCACCCAATGTTCAGAGGTTATTCACAGCATGATGCTCAAGAGTTTCTGAGACTTTTCTTGGTTCAGCTACATGAAGAGCTTAAACATTCTAAAATTTCAATTTCAGAAAAGCGAGGTATGTGTATGGAGTCACTACAAACGAAATATCTTTTATGAGTCGTGGTACAGTTCTTCGTGTCTTAATTTTAATATATCTTTCTCAAGTCAATTTTTCGAATAAGCTATTTATCATTTATAATTAGACTAATTGTTATTTTTTAATCAGTTGCATTCTTAACATTGCGAAAGTTACTGTAAAGCTCTGTAAATTGGACTTGTCAGGCCTTGTAGCATTACCTTTTGTAAAGATTGGTACTATATGAGTTGAGCTCGTCCTACGAACACGAAAACAGAATGGTCGTGGATGGATACTCATAGTTTTCAAATAGTTAACCACTTTAATACATGAGTGTAGTATAAATGTTTATATTGCAAATAACATGAGTAATTTAAGGATATGGATGATAAAACTAAAGTGATCGCGAGCTCTATTTTGTAAATTCATCGTATATACACTAAAAACAGTGGTCCAATACGATTACTAGTAGTCGTGTAGCTTATTGATCCGAAAGCTTAACTTTCAACAGATGTGTTCAGGCTCAAGATTCCACATACCTTTGGTAACGTGTTAGCGTCACTAACCGTCAGACAGTAAACATGGCTAATTTTCAGTGTCACTGTTATGTTATTGCTCTTTTGAGATGACACCAATTTATTGATTAACATTTGTGAGCTTAGCTTGCTGCCTAAAGTTCACGTGATCTTATTTGATAACTGATATATTCTTACGAGTAAAATTGTTGTGCATTCTGGATTTTAAATCAGCAGATTTTGTAAAGTACATGTGATTGTAATTGTTCAACTTTCATGATTAACACAAAGAAATTACTTCCACTTTTCATCTATAGATTACTTTGGTTAGACTGAACTAGGCAGTGCATTTTGATAACAATAATCACATATTTTAGAAACTGGTTGACCATTTTGTTCACCTTGTATTAAGTTCACCAGTTATTTAACCAGTAGAACTTTATATAAAGTATAACTGTTCAGCTGGGCTTCATATGTGTGTTTATTTCTAATTTGAAAGTGAGTTTCATAAAAAAAGTTTTTCAAGCTGTGACGAACTGTTTGAAAATTCACGTTTAAGTATATGCCACCGCCAAAGTTACCTTAATAATCGTTTTCATTTAGTCTGTAAACTATGCTAAAACACCAGAAGTCCCTCCTTAGTGGAATAATTTTATTTGATGAAACGCCGTGATACAGCACAGTCTATACACTGTTTTATTTATTTATCATCAAATAATGCTTGCGTCGGCGGCACGGCGGTGGTATGCCCGCCAACCGCGCATGTCCTCCGGCGTTCGAACCCCGACCGATGCAGTCCTTTACCTCGCTAAGTCAGTAATAATACCGGTAAAGAGGGAAGGTTGGGCATCTGGCTAGCAACCCCATCTGGTAAAAATAAACACCACTGCAACCGAGACTCCAAGCCCTACGTTCCACTGGGAATGTAAGGAAATAAAAAAAATAATACTTGGTCACTGATTTATAGTAATATTACTTTTGTATCATGGAAGTATGCTCTAATACAGTGCTTAATTTTTATTCTTATACTCAAAGTCTTTGATTATAACCATTCTTTTTTGAACAGCTTCATCAGGTACAAGACAAACGACATCCAATCAATCAGATAACAGCAGCAGCATAATCACCGATGTCTTTCAAGGTAGACTAGTTAGTACTGTGCGTTGTCTTTCTTGCAATCGGGTAAGTCACTTTAAAAGGGGCTGAACTTTTCCTAATTTGTGATTTTTTCCTCCTATTTTCTGGGTTTTTAAAATTAAATGCTGTCAGAGTAGCCACTGAATTTTGTGAGTTTCTATGTGATAACCTAGCAATTCATTTCAAGTTTCTTCTATAAAAAAGTTTTGTTGGAATAAATTTTTCGGGTATATCAGAATATATTGGCTTGCGATCGATGTTTTTGTTAGAAATAACCTTTGTAGTTGTGGATATTTCACTCTCTACTCCACTGATTGCAGGTTAAATTTCGTGTAGTCTAGATATTTGTCAGTCTGGACTTTTTTGATGATTTAAGTGCCTACAACTATAGCTGTTCGCTAAGTACTGATTCTTTCAAGACTTTGTTTCTAGGGATTTGATAGATGTATCGCAATTTTGACCATAGATTAATATCAGTTAGAGAACCATTGAAGGCCAACCGAAATTACTGAACATCTGTTTTCCCCTAGTTTCAGACATCATCAGTACTTACCAACTGGGTTTCCAACCCAGGACTTTCTGGTTTCAGCGGAGGCTGGTGGACCATTTAGCCACTGGGAACCGACTCGAGGGCTCATGAATTCTAACTTCCACTAATTTTTGATTCTTTAGGACGAAACAGCTGTTCATTATTCCCTGGTTTTCAGTGGTTCTCTAACATCAGTCCATGGTCAAACCTGAAGTACTAATATCGTATTCAAGTGTTGGTTTGTAGAGATTTGATTGGTTACAGGATTTCATCATGACCTGACATTAGTTAGAGAACCATTGGAAAACCTGGGAGTACTGAACAGCAGTTTCGTCCTTCTTTGAGACTGTTCATCAGTACGCACCCACCGGGATTCGAATCCAGGACCTGCTGGTTACAAGTCGAGCTAGCTCGTAGACCATTAAGCCACTGGGACCCGATCCCATGGTCAGCTCATGAATTCTAACTTCTGTCAATTCACGACATAGCGTTCCCCGTAGTCAATGTCTCCGGCGAGTATTTGTCCTCACACCCGACCTGGTGCACCCTGCTGGTCACGACTTCTCACTAGAACCCCAGGTAATTACCTACCTGAATAGGGCAAGTCGCTAATGAGCATCTCATTGATACTAATATCTTAACTGTAGATTTTGCTGTACATTAAATATTCCAAAATAACTAACCTAGTATGTAGTGAAAATCTGAAGTGACAACTCACAGAAATTCTCATTGCGTGTTGATTATTTAGCTATACAAGTATTGTTTTTGTAGGGATTTTGTTTGATTGCATGGAGGATTTCATCATGAGCTGACATCAGTTGGAGAACCACAGGAAAACCTGGGAGTACTGGACAGCTGTTTCGTACAGCAGGTTGAAGATGAGGCAGTAACTCATCGAAGAAGACATTGCGAAGTGGTCGCGCTATATCGTGAATTGGCAGAAGTTAGAATTCAAGGACCATTGGATCGGGTCCCAGTGGCTCAATGGTCTACGAGCTATGTTGCCTTGTAACCAGAAGGTCCTGGGTTCGAATGATGGCGGTGGGTGCGTACTGCTGAAGAGTCTCAAACTAGGACGAAACAGCTGTTCAGTTCTCCCAGGTTTTCCTGTGGCTCTCTAACTGATGTCAGCTCATGATGAAATCCTCCATGCTATTTAGCTATACGTCAAGGATGGCTGAAACATACTGTGTTACTACTCTTCATCACCAATCCCATGTTTTATGAGAAGTTCAGTGTATAACGAAAAGAGATCTCTTTGTTGTGTACTATTCGCCATTTTCTTCCCTAATTAAATCAGCTCTACAACTTGCGTAAGAAACGCCTCTTCCCTATACTGGCATTATTTAGATTTTATGAAAACATACATGTTTCTATGAAACGTGTTTTTTCTTCATTAGTTATTAAACCTAAACTTTTATAAGTGTGTGAAAAGTCTCTTGACAGATTCGTTGTTTTGATGTGGTTTTGTTCTCTGAGCTGGATGGTTAGTTTGCGAAGCTTTCATCGCCCTACTGGGTGACATCTTCAGCGCTCAGAGAACAAAACCACATCAAAATTATCCACCTGAGCTACAAATCTTCTCTGTCATATCTAGATTAGTTGTTATCTCGATTACCATAAATGCGTTTCTGTTGTCAAATACCTTTCGTAATATGAAATCGTTTGCATTAACACTTGTATTTATTCACGTTAATTAAAAAAAGCACGAAAATTTTATAACCCTGTGGTTTAGGTTATATATACATCTATCATAAATTAATCTGTGCGATCTTTTTGTTTGTTTATTGCTTTTACCACCATTTTAATGTGTAACTAATAATTTTTTTTTACTCTTATTGTCTTTTAGCTTTCCAATCGAGAAGAAACATTTATGGACTTATCTCTCTCCCTTGCTAGACCAACTGTACAAACTTGTAATTTATCCTCATCAATTGAAGAATCTACGCACTCCTCTTTTATGAATGGCACTGTAATAAAAAATGGACCTGTTTACGTGAAAACATCCGATGGTGGTGATTCACAGCGTATACAATCTTGTTGTTCACCAAGTTCGAAATCGACTCCAACTCATAGTTTGAGGACGAAATTCTCCTTATTATCTTCATTTCCGGTGATAGATCGTTTAGTAAATGCAATTCCTTGGCTTTTAACTCTGCTTTTAACGCTTACTCATATAATGTTTTCATATGTACAGAGTTTTATTCCTTCGTAAGTTTCTCTGAGATATTTGTTTTTTCTTTGGTTTTTGCTGTTTAATTGAATTATTTTCATGTTGTGGTTTATAGAAAATCCATGATTACACGTTCTCTATGCGTCCCGCGCAGACTGCAGTAATTACCTATGCGACTAGGTGCAGTTTTAGGCTGGTGTGAGAGGCTTCTACGCCAGTTTAAGGTAACTTCGAAGCCCATCCATCTCCATTATTTTCACATGATTCGCACGGTCTGTCATAATAACACCTACACTTAGCAATGCCATTTAGATGGTACCTGTTGTCTTACAGTTAGATTACTGATGTTACTCCGTAGAATTAATGAAGTGTGATGGAGAAGATTTGTAGCTCAGGTGAATAATTTTGGTGTAGTTGTGTTCTCTGAGTTGGATGGTTTGTTTGCGAAGCTTTCATTACCCTGCTAGGCAACATCTTCAGCATGTACTTCAAAGTTTGAAGTCTGCTTCAAACAAGCAGAGTCGAGCTTTCACGGAATGAAAATGCTTTCCCTTGTTCTTTGCTTTTCAATAGTTCTATCAGTAGGTGTTGTTTCATGACTTACTTTAACTTTAAATCAATCAAAATCATCATTAGCTTCTTGAAATATTGTCGATTTGATCAGTTTTAGTACAGTTATAAAGCAATTAATATTCGATAGCTCACAATTTTAATCTGTAGTATCCTTTCACTGAACACTAGATGGTGACTAATTTCACGCGTCTAGTCCTTGGTGTTGACGCTTATGGAATCCTGTCAGCTAAGTTTGCAGTTTGACCAGCATACCAACATTCAGACAACCTAGGTCCAAGGGTTCCTGGTGATTGTCTTCAACTGTCTAACAATAATTCAGAGTGTACCTTCATGGCAAGCACCTAACATGTTGGGCACATTGACTGGTAGAATTCAGTTTGCACCCAACATCAAGGACTAGATGCTTGACATCAGTTACTACGTAGTTTCCAATGAAGGTATCCATTACAGCCCTAGATGAGGTTAATGGCGAACCCGAATAGCTCAATGGTAACGTGTCTGATTGACTGCAGCACTGGGTGATCCGGATTTGAATCTCATAAGGGGCATGGGGTTCCTTCACGACTGCAAGTACACCTTTTGATGAGTGCCACAACAAACACGACACCTAGGTCTAAGGCTTCGTGCTACTTGCCTCCAACCATCTAATAATCTATAGTATCTGTTCCAGCATTCTTTTGTGAAGTCTTTTTCGTACTGAATACTTGGAGAGTTTTAATGTTGTTTGGCTATCCAAATATTCAGTGAATCGGTCGAAACTTATAATTCAGAGTGTGTAGATATTATAATTGATTACTGTAAAATAACTTTGGAACTTCTAAGTATTTCTTATCATTAAGTTCGTCGAAATCTCTTAAGTTTTGATCTGAACTAAGACTATACTTTTCAGCTGAGCTGTGGTTTTCAACTGTTTTAAAGAGCTAGAGGGAGGCTAAATTATTTTCTCAACATTGTTGCGGATTTTATTCTGGGAGATTATTGGAGATCTATTAATTTTTCTATGGTAGTTTCATTAGCCATACTTTTACTGAGACTGTATTCTCAATAAACGTAAACATTTATTGACGGGGCATGTAGTTGACTAACATGAATTATTCGTTTTTGACCATAAAGCTACGGGTTCTAGTCCTGTCACCTGTGTCTCGGTTCATATGGTCGCAAACCTGTTAGGGTTTACCAATTAGTAATTGATAACCTCTTTCTACAACAGACTAAATACAATGGTAGCTTAGATCAATATGTCAATCGTGGGTATTGAAGAAGGTATACTATCTTTTCGGTGTAGTAAATTTGTTAATCAGACTGGTTCACAATATGCAGCAAACATGATTGTCATTCATTTTTTTTTGATTATCCAGTCGGATAAGATTTGGATCCTGCTTTTATTAAACTGTTTGAATAATTTTTTAGATGACCCATTTATATAATTTGACCACCTTCAGTTCCCATTTAACTTTTCGCTTGTAGACCCAAACGATGGATAGACAAATGGTCTACGCTAACGTTGGATGATTGTTTATCCCACTACTTTTCTGAAGCCGAGTTGGTCGGAGAGAATAGATATTTCTGTGGAAGGTGTAATCAGTAAGTGTATGAAATAATTAATAAATGTACATAATTTACTGCTGTAGTTCATTGAAGATGCCTATCCCGTTAAAAAATTTGAACGATTGACTAATGAACAAGGAATATTGCTTCCGATAAATTCGTCATTAGGTTGTACCCCTATATCACAGTGATATTTCAACAAGTATTGCTATGAACAACACTATTACTGTTCTGAATTACACTGAATCCATAGTTTCGACAGAGGATAACATTTCAGAAGCATCAGTAAGATAGAGACAGGATGATATGCAACAATATAAGACTAAATTGAATGTCGGATAAATTAGGAGAAGTAACACAGAATTCATGAATTTATAGGTTCGACAGCACGTCGAGGCAGTAATAATGACTGAAGCTGTCTCTTTTGCACTGAGACCTCCGGTTGATTTAAGCGAATTGCAATGACCTTCTGGTGTTTGGAATGTTCGGTGTTTAGAGTCTTTTTGTGATTTATTTGACACTCGATAGATGATAGAGAAATACTCTTCAATGTTGCTGGCTTTGTGGCCTGTTGGGACGAGGTCATCCAGTATAGAACTTTTGACGGTTTCAACAGCATCTTTATATAGCCACAGTGGTAGGTGTTCTCAAGCACGGAAAATTAGGTTCCAAGAGCAATGGCTTTCCTCGTCAGGCAATGTTAGCCAACATAATATCATGTTGGAAAAGACCTAGTGGTGGTTGGCACAGATTCATTCACTCTTTGTCATTTGTCACATCCAATAAAATTGTTTTGTTCTTCTATACTACTATTCTTTTTGCCTCATATCTCCGTTTGTTATCTCTCTTTAACCTGTTCTCTTGCTTTGTGTGGTAAATGGAGGGGACATGGCAACTCGGACTGCTGCATATCTGTGCAAAGTTCCACACTGAAACCGGTCAGTCAGTCAAACTTTCTTTGAATCAATTTTCCCAGCTTATTGATTATTATTTCATTTTGTATATCATCTTTGAAGTGTAGTCGTATATATATGAAGGCTTATTAAGAGATATAGAAGAATTCTTCTTTAGTCTCTTGGCCATGTGTTTAGTGATGAACTTCTAAGGGTATGTGTTTTCGATTACTGTGTCATATACAAGCCTTAGTTCGTCTTCAGTTGCATCCTCTGAACAAGTAGGTCTAATCCTGTAGCTGAGGGTCTTTACCAAATGTCTTTTATACGGGAGGAACAAAGCTGTGAAAATGTGTATGTTGACTGGTCCAAGCACTTTTCTTATGTCGATTCCTTTTTATGCTACCATCTAGTCTTCTTGTCAGCCAGATATCTAAAAAGGCAATCTTACTTTGAGATTCTTCTTCACAGGTAAATCTGATAGCTGAATGTACTTTATTGAATTGAGGTATTATTGTATTCAGTCATAATACGTTGAAATTGACATGCTGTACATGATCCTATTGAAAGTCGTGTAACTGGTTACTTTGGTTGCAAATCCTTCAGCAGAGAGTATTTTCAAATGTTTTAAAATCCTTGTTACGAATTCAAGCAGTATTAAATGGATAGGGAATATTCTGAATATCCTGAAACCAATCAAATCCCTGCAAACCAACACTTGAATATCAGTCTTATTCTCACTGATAACTGGCCCTATTCAGGTAGGTATTTACCTGGGTTCTAGTAGGAAGTCGTGACCAGTGGGGTACAGCAGGTCGGGTGTGAGGACATATACTCGCTAGCGATGACATTTGTTAGTGGTCGTGCCATATTATGAATTGGCAGAAGTTAGAATTCATAGGCTGGCCACTGGATCGGGTCCTAGTGGTGTGATGGTCTACGAGCTCGCCTCGTAACCGGAAGGTGCCGGACTCGAACCCTGGTGCTGATGAAGAGTCCCAAACTAGGACGAAACAGCTGTTCACTTCTCCCAGGTTTTCCAGTGGTACTTTAACCGATGTCAGTTCATGATGAAATCCTTATTCTCACTAGCATTTACTTCAGTCTCTTTGTTTATATTATTGTTGACAGAATATACGTACACTGATCAGTGAAAGGTTTGTATAAGAAAGAGACTCTAAAATCTAATAAAACCGCTACCTTGAGGGATTCATCACGAAACACATGGCCAGGAGACTACAAAAGAATTGTCTTCTATCCGTTAACAGGAAACCTGTAGATACCAAGCTCACCAAACAGCGATTCGCATAAATCAACTAGAGATCTGTGTGCAAACGAGACAAGTCCAGCCATTATTGTCGTCCTGACCTGTTGTTGAGCCTATAAATTCATGAATTCTGTGTTACTTCCCTTAATTTGTTTGACATTCAATTTAGCATTATATTGTTGCATATCATCCTCTCTCTATCTTACTGATGCTCCTGAAATGTTATCATCTGTCGAAACTATTGATTCAGTGCGATTAAGAGCAGCATTAATTTTGTTAATATCAATATTTGTTTAATTATTGCTGTGATATATAATTGTAGACCCTAATGACGATGAATTGATCGACATCAATGTGTTCTTTGTTCAGTAAGCAGTCTTTTAAATTACTGTTTGTTTGTTTTGTGATTTATTCAATCGGCTAATATCTTGACTCACTAATTGTTATAGCTGAACTGATCTGAATGAATCCGTTGCTACTTTGTTATGTCCGTGTGCCTGTTGATTACTATAACGCTGATGAACTCGACTGCTACGCTAATACGTCCGTTAATTTGTCTGTTGCACCTTCTGATTCACTGAGCCACACAAATATCAAGAAGACAGAGGCTAGTCTGTGACTGTAAGAGGTTGTATGGGACATCTATTAGGAAACAAACCACAACGTTTTTATATATTTAATTTAACACAGTACAGTTGGGTGACAGCCGTGGGAATGGACTGTTCTTTCTGACTGCGAATGTCTATTCTTATTGGTTGGTGATCCGACAAAGACGAAGGTGAGACAAACGACGATGAATTGATCACACACTAAACCACAATATGCGTCAGAAATGATACATCCACATAGTAACTCCATCACATGATAAATCATATGATTTGTGAGAAAGGATAATGTACTGTTTCATGCTGGGTCCTTTCACTAATTGTTATGGCATAAGACTGGAAGAGTTAATTAGAAGTAATATACATATATGCTAATATAATAAAGGTTGGACGTATCCTAGCCTACGACGACTAGTTTACTAATTGGAAATGAAAAAAGGACGTTAAGAGAAAGTGGTAATACTCAACTGCTTACACTTCTGCACTCTATTATAACAACTACTCCTCATCATTTGTTCTTTGTACATAAGACGATGGACTAACATCTTGTCGTGATGAAACAGTAAAAGACAACTGTCGTTATACACTGCCTTTACTCGACTTCGCAGCAGCGTTCCCAGCGCAACCGCCTTCGCCGCCGGATCCATGATGCCCACCAACTCAGCGACAACTGCAAAGTCCTGCAAGAAGCTCCTTATATCGCCTTCCGCAAAAGAAGACGGCCACGGAATCTTGATTATCTGGAGGCAGAGACACCAATTGAAACGGTAGGGGACTATGTATGCTTATGCAGCCAAATTATATATACCTTATCTTCAACGCACCATTTGCATCGATCTTCGTGTTGTGGTACTTCTGGACTACATATTATGTTCGTCGGTGGCACAGTGGTTAGGACTCTCAACGACCATGCACATGGTCCGAAGTTCGATCCCCTGCCGACGCACACCTGATATCTATGGTCGGCCTGCGAAATTTGGGCTACCGATATCCATGCTGAAAATTCCATACTTGTACCAAAAATACAGTGTGGAATCAAGCTGCAGTCAAAAAAATGTTCTTTTTACGTTTCTCCACAACGCTATACCGTTTGCCTTCTCCGAAATCAAATCTATCTCCCTGCCATTTGATGTTTATATGCCGATGAACATCTCTTTATATACATATATATACTACTGGTAAATCTTATCAGTAGCATTCGCCACATTGTTTCTCATATGAAGATTCGTTGGCAAGCGGCTGCATAATGACTCTCACTCTCTGGATGGTGTATCGTATATTTTTTCCGGTTTTACCCATAGTTAACTTCTAGTTGGGATAAGAATAAATACCATGAACTTTCATGTCTCCTCAAACTGATGTCTGAATAGTAAGTATCACGATCATTTATCTTGTTTGACTTAGGGGATGATTGTGTTCAATTGGCGTAACGTATTACAAAACTCAGACGCTAAGTATCAATGCCTAGAGGTTATTGGTCATGTGGCTTAAATTCGTTCTCAATGTTGTGAATGTACTCACTCCTTGTGATTTTTTTATATTCATTAAATCGTCATTATTCTTCATCTGATTCTTTATCCATACATTTCAGTTTGTTACAGTTTGAAATGCTGAATGAAACACTATACTATTGATTGATTAAAATGAGTAGTTGAATATCACTCATATCATCAACCAGTAGTTCTTGCTAACCAGCCAGATTAAGGTAATCTAAAAACAGTGGACAGCCGTTTCATTTGTTTGGTGCAAGCATATGTACATTCAGCTCTCTATGCTCTGAGTCAAAGCAGGTCCACTACCAATGACATCGGCCCCAAGCCATCTGGCAAGCACTAATGACAGATCTGAGTGGCGGTGTGCAACTACTCATCTCAATCAATCAGTAGTATGTCGTCATATTCAAACATTCTTGCTTTCTTGATTAACATTTATCGTGTCGACGAGATCACGTATTGTGATCTGAATAATTTGATTTCTTAAGGAAACCCCGTTGAATATTTCCCAACCCCACCCCCCTCCCCCCGAGGAGTGTACATTGCAAATCGTGAATTTCATTTGGAATGCTGTGTGCTTCGGTGGCACAGCGGTTAGGAAGGTCGCCGGCCATGCACATAGTTCTCCGGGTTCGATCCCCGGCCGACTCACTCCTTTACCTCGCTAAGCCAGTGATAAGACTGGTAAAGAGGAAAGGTTGGTCATGAGGCTAGCAACCCTATCCTGTAAAAATAAACACTGCTACAAAAACTTCAAGCCACTAGCTTGAAGCTCTATGTTCCACTGGGAACGTGAAGGAATACAAAAAAAATTTGAAATGCTGTAACTTTGTACACAGTCATGTATAGAATATTCAGTCTACGTTTCAAGTATATGAATAAGCTTAGTAGCGGCGTTAATTTCTTGGTGGTTATCGTCTTGATTATGGGAATTTAATACAATCAATCCAGCTATCCCGGTGAATTCTTCATGCACTAGCTACAATTAAGAACTAGTAGTACGACCTGGTTGTCTAGGTAGATTTAGAGGGAGTTGAATTTGTACTAGAAACTCATTGGTTGAAATGCAGGTGCTGAAGTCAATGGGCTACCACTCCTATTTCTGTTGTGACGGAGAATATTTGGATTATGTATATATTAGATGGTAACTGGGGAGGAACCTGAAAGAAACAACCCCCTTCACCTACCTGGGAAGCATCGTTTCAGCTACTGGCGGAACTGAATCGGAAAAGCAAGACAAGCTCTCATTACTCTGAATTCTGTGTGGAGGTCAACAGCACTCAGCATCAAAAATAAGAACCGGATTTTCAACCCCGACGTGAAGTCAGTGCTACTATGCGGATCAAAGACTTGGCCAGTGCGTCATAAAGAGCATCTCAAACAAACTACAGACCTTCATTAACAGTTGTCTTCGCTCAATACTCAAGATCAGATGTCTGGCCAGAAGAGATCAGCGACAGGGAGGGATCTCTGGCAATGAGCGAACCAACCAGGAACCGATTGTGAAACAAATAGGCAGAAAGAAATGGAGATGGATTGGCTGGCCATACTCTGAGGAAACAAGCCATCAAATGACATCACTAGACAAGTCATTGTTCGAGTGGAACCCAAAAGGGAAGCGGCGAGTTGGTCGTCAGTGCAAGGGTGACTTGGAGGATGTTATGTGAAGAGAAGATGAAAGCGTGTGGGCGGACTTAGAGCGGGGTAAAAACGTTGGCAGAGAACAGAATGCATTGGAGACGCGCAGCTGAAGCCTTATGTTCCTCTAGGAATTAAAGGAAATAATAATAATAAGATGGTAACTGATGGAATATTCTCCGGAATTATAAGGTTTCTGGTAGCCATCAATTCTCCGACTATTCATCGTTCTTTTTTCTACTTCCTATTGGTGACATTTAGTTCGTCCTTGTAATGGTATTGCGATTGTCACCTTCTTAGCTGTATTAAATCGAGACGCAAACTTTGCTGATATGCATGCGGTTCTGTATTTTTATTTTATTATGAATCGAAGTTTTATCAAAGTAGCATATCATCATCGGCATCATAAAATGGTCTGGTGCGTTTGTTTAAAACTGTAAATATAATTAGTAATTTCTTACAGTTTACAATCACTTTATAAACAGTTGACTGTTTGTTTTATTTTTACATATATTTCTATGCTATCATCATCGTCATCATCAATATATACTACTACTTTTCCTGTTTATACTATGCTGTCTTGTGTGTTATTGATAATTTATCATAGGAGGTGTGGGTTGACGGTAATTTAACTATTCATTTTTTTTTATTTATTTTGTTTTATTTACTTACAGGCGATGTAATGGCTTGAAACAGTTTAGACTTATAGCCTTACCAGAGATACTTACACTTCATTTGAAAAGATTCAGCAGTAATCATATGTACTCTTCAAAATTATCCTCTCCAGTAAATTTCCCGTTGAAGAGTTTAGAATTATCACCGTTTCTTCATCGTGATTGTAAAGATAAGGTGAGTATTTTTGATTTAATGGTGATGATGATGATGATGTGTACTATAAAAACGTTTTCTATCGTTTATTTCGAAGGGGGCAATCTTAGTACATTGTAGACTAATGGATATGTTATACAAGATAAATAAAGCAAAGCGGAAATTGTTATTATTGTTGTTGAAACATAAACTTGGTACATTTTGGGGGCACTAAGGAACACACCACATGAAGTCTCATAGTTTGTGTGAAGGCTGGGTTACTGCCTGAACTCCCAGACCGAAGCAGGTGGTTGTCTTTAGGGACCGAAATCATGAGCCTTTGACTTGAAACTGGATCCACAAGGCAGTGAAACATAGTCAGAAGGTACGTTCTCGTGGTTCATGGGGTCCAAAGTAGGTTTGGCATCAGGGTTTCTCGGCTCCCCTAGATAAACCAGTACGTCTACCAGTTCAGTTAAAGGTACTAGACGTTCACATTCACCCTTTCAAGGCTGGCAGCCTTGTCTTACTCCTGTGTTCATTTCCAACGCCTCGCTGAGTTTTCCTCTGTGGATCATTTGATTCGTGGTATTGTCATATAGCTAGCTGTTGAATGATGAGGTTGATAAAGATTTGGACATTGCACGCCGTAGTTTTGAAGCAATTTCCAAATTACTTCTCGGTCAATGCTGTCTGTCGAAGGCCTTTTCGAAGTCTCTGGAGTTGAGGTAGAGGTTTGACTGCCATTTTATGCTTTGTTCTGTGATGATAATATGTAGAGTTACAATTTAATTAGCATATAATTTGCCTTTTCTGAATTCAACTTGTTGCGGTTGGTGAAGTTTTATACCCATTGCATCTTTTATTCTCTCGTGGATGACGCATATGCTAACTACATTTATTTTCAATGTTGCTGTTATGGGTTTTGTAGCAGGATCGTATTGATGATCTTAATCAATCTCTTCTATACCTTAAAAGTGCTTAACATGGTATAATGCAACGGATGCCAGTTATCTTATGGAAGCAATGATGAATAAACACGGAGTTGATCTATATAATGAACCCATTACATTTCCTCCAGTACTTGCACGATTATTTTATAAACACAGACATTTTGATCGTTATGAGATCCCAGCCAGTAGTGACTTCTGAATCTGTTACGACCAAAACTGACTTGCTGTGACCTCTGCAGACCGATCTCCACATCCTACAGTATAGCTGACAAAACATCCTTGAGACCATGCGCAGTCACCAAATACTCCAAAGACACAAAAAAGACGTTTATCCTTCGATAGGTCTGTGATTCTCTCCAGTACAGTTAGTCAGGTTATACAATCAGTGTAAGTTTCTATTTCCATTATAGCAGTTTCTAGGTACAAAGCAAGTACTTAGAATCAAGGACAATATTCTCAAAAAGGTGGGATTAAACACTCTATCCGCAAGAATCACACGCCAACGGTTCCTCTGGATATTCCGAGATAAGAGTTGCTTCGATTCACTTAAACAAAGTCACGTCGTTAAACAACACATCAATATCACCACACAAACACGGAGAGGAGCACTAGAATTACAGATTAAATAGTGACAAAGACAAATAGTAAGGATCAGGTTGACATATGATATGCAAATGCCACAACAATAATATACAGTTTAGAAGAAAAACGGATAATAACTGCACAATTAGTTGCAAAGTCCAAATAAGCATCAGTATTGTGATTCCATCTTTTAGGAGGGATTTCTCAAACAACCTCTCTACGAACAGCGTTTTCTTGTAAACAAAATACGTAGTTCAGCGAAGAGTCTCTTTTCGGCGGCGGGGAATTCATTTTCTTAGCTGTACAATCGCAAATATATATGTGGGTTATTTTGCATGTATGTGTACATTAAGTTTGTCAAACAAAAATATAATTGGTTATGGTTATTTTAACTGAACAGGTGAAGATTGGTTGTTAGAGTTACGTAATACAAAATCAGTCAAGAAAATTAGGTGTTAATGAAATTAGGGTAGTAACAAAGTTGATGAGCTGTCACAAACAGTTGTTGAAAGGGAGTTTCGTAATAATATGAATAGTCTGACGATCGATTAGTATTCAGATACACACAGGAAACAAAGTAGAGAATACGAAATTACGTGAGAGTTCTTAATGAATACAAGAATTATAAGCAATTAAAGAAACAGGCAAACAAACAAAATCAAGCCATCAAAAATCAACCAAGTTTTACCATGACAGTAGAAGTGGTTGAGTAATTCCCTTTTATATGCACAGCTCCTATCTTTCTATGTAAATGGCTAGAGCTTCAGCGATACAAAGAGGATGAAACCGTAGGTTATTCGTGACTCTGTAGATTACTTTGAAGCAGGAGGCGTTTTTTGAGATGGAATGATCAGTGTCAACCAAGAGTTCAATTCTCTCACTCCTTATTGTACCACTATTGCCATTTCGCAACCATGCTGGATAGTGTTCTTGAATCCTTTTGCAGAGGATGTCTGTCGAACGACTGATGTACGGGGCTGGCTTCACACCAGCAGGTGAAGTGATTTATGCACATAGAAGTGGTTAAATGCAGGATTGTGATTGTACAGCTAAGAAAATGAATTCGCCGCCGCCGAAAAGAGACTCTTCACTGAACTACGTGTTTTGTTTCCTTGTAAACCCATATACCCATTGGGACTGTCTTCAAAGCAAACTGTTCCTAAAACCCCTGATCCCAAAGTATTAACGTCTTTATTGTTGTTGTTGTTTTGATGTGCCAGTTGTTTAAACAATATATGCTGGCTAGACAGACTAGTTATTTTCTCTCTCGTCATCATCCTTTCAAATGATATCGTTTTTTTCCGCGTAGATTGTTTTCCTTTTTTTGTCTTCCTATGTGATTACGGATGCATTTCATTTCAGACAACACACACATACACTATCTCATTGGATTAAATTATCACAGTTTGATGGTCTTTTAACATCTCGTGAATAATGTTGTTTTTTAAAGTTAAAATTATCTACTTGTTTACTTATAATGACTTGAAGTGTGTCTCGTGATTATATAAAAAAACGGAATGGATGTTTACGAGGAGAGAAAAAAGGTTGTAATCAATGGTCAAAATAGTTAATATAATGTGTGATTGTCATCTTCACCACTTCTTATATGATAAACAACGATGGTTGTTGATGAGTGTCTACTTCAGAGCTCACCTCCTTGTGTACAAAAATTGTCTGGTGACTGTCTGTAGAATTTTACCCAATATGGAGATTTTGGTGTAGTTGTGTCCTCTGAGCTGAATGGTTTATGTATTTGTGGAGCATATTTATTGTCTTCCTGGACAGCATCTTCAGCGCATACTTAAATTTGAAGTAAGTTTTTAGAATTCTCCACGAGAGTTTATCAGTTATATTTTTAATTCAACTGCGAATATATATGAATAAATCAAAAGGATACCTGTGGGACTGTCCATGTCAGGATTAATTACGAAAGGTGTTATGCCAAAGACTTGAAAACATAGTCCTACCAAAGATTAAGACCAAAATCCGAATAAGTTCTGTGGATGACGCATTTGTGATCATCAGAAGAAATGACTTAACCAAAAAAGAAACTCACAGCCTAATAAACAGCATCTTCAGCGACATTAAATTCACAAGTGAAGAAGAATCCAAAGGTAAAAGTTCCATTTTTGGCCGTCTTAGTCAAGCGAACAACTGCAGGAAAATAAGAAACTCGAGTATACAGAAAATCAATATATTCAGAATATCTCTGAAATCACTACATGACTATTCAAACCTTTCTGAATGGATGTCGCCCAGAAAACCACAAAAATAACTTTACTCGTCTCTATGTCAACCGTAGGGCTTGGCGGTGAAAGAGGGCAAAGCCAACAAGGTATATTGCAATGACTGTGAAAAACATTACGTTGGTCAGAGTGGACGCCCTCTTCGTCTTCGCATCCATAGATATGAACTGACCATCAAAAGACACGATACCCACACCCCTCACATCACTGCATATAGATAACCATGGATACCAACAAATTCGATTGGGATACTGTTCAAATCTTAGACAGAGGAGACATCATAAGCGCCAGAGAATTTCTAGAAGCCTGGCATTCATTCAAATAGTAAATCGTTAGCCAATAGAAATATTGACACATGGACAAGATTTACTAATCCATAAGAGGGAAATCGTATGAATAAAAGGTCAAACTTCAGGTCAAGGAAATAATCAAATACTAGACAAGTAGACACAAAAACAACCAATCACGTTTAAGGTTCCGAAGAGAGATAACTGATGAACTCGTGAAGAATTCTAAAAGCTCATTTCAAATTGAAATGTGCACTGAAGATGTTGTCTAGGAAGACAATAAATGCTTCGCAGATATAAATCAACCAGCTCAGAGGACACAACTACACCAATATATACCATATTACGGGTGAATTCCTACTTTGCATCTTAAGTTTCTGTCTACAGTGAAGTTTTGACTAAATATTCCAAGCAATCGACTTTCAACTAGTGCACTACAGGTTTCAGTAATACTTCACCCTATCCAACTGAACCTCATTTCTGCCGATTAATGCACTTGGTGTACCGATAAGTGCGTGAACACATAAACATAGGCACACACACACACTTAAAATATGAATAGTTCTACACTTTGTACATTTTAAAATTCTTTTATTTTTTAAACAAAAATAAGTAATTTATTATATATTTTTTGCCTTCTTTTGTCCTTAGATTACAACTTATGATTTAATCGGTGTGATATGTCATTATGGTGGTTGTGGTGGCGGGCATTATACAACCTGTGCATATAATTCATCTACTGAAAGTTGGTATGAATTCAATGATGAACATGTTCGAAAATTAGATGTTGAACAGGTGGAAACATTGAAAAGTTCAGCTTATATTTTATTTTATCGGTGAGAAGAATAGATTGGGTTTTTTCTTTTATTTTTGAAAAAATCTTAAAATCTCCCTCCCCCCACCATCCCACCCGAAAAAAATAGAAACATCAACAGTTTAATTGACTTTTACTGCTGTGAAACTTTCATTCTACTGGATACTTATTTGTAATTTGAGCAAATATTCTCCAAGTTGATAATTATTATGGTCACGGATTAATACCGATGACACTTGAATGGTGATCGAGGTAAAAGTTGCGAAGTGACAGAAATGATTCATGGACCATTGTATTCTAGCTCAGGTGGTCGAATGGTCAAGGCGTTTAATCCCGTAGCCTGGAGGTCACTGTTTGAATCCACTATGGGATCGTGGGTGCGTACTATATGTACTGATGAAGAGTCCCAGACAAGGACGAAACAATTGTCCACTATTCCCTGGTTCACTATGATTCTCTGACTGACATCAATGAGTAATCAAACTTGAAACAAACTAACTTTACTCACAGTCTTGGTTGCCAGTGGAATAAGAAATCAGAGCCCTTATACCTCTTCTAAACGTATTGCTAAATCAATGCTGTAGGTGTAAATGTTTTTGGTTAACTGGGAATATAAAAATACTTTGTGACTTATTGATATAAGGATAAAACTCGGGCACTGTGATAGAGTATAACTCTATCGTGGATAAAATTTTATTCTGATAAAATCACACAGTGTTATACAGTAATATTTATTTAAAGGGAATTAAAAATATTGGTGAAATCAATAGTGACAGCATAAATAAGAAAGAATATAAGGCATCTGCAGTTTTACCATATACGGAGAGGACATCTGAGAACCTACGTAGTATTCTCAATAAAGCAGGAATTAGTGTGGCATTCAAACCTACAAACTCACTTAGATAGAACAAGCTCTGTAGGCTAAAGAACCCGGTGGATCCAATGAAACAAAATAATATAATTTACAAAATACCTTGCAATGACTGCGAGCAACGTCAACTATATAGGTCAAATTAGTAGATTAGGAGTAGTACAATCGCCTGTCAGAAAATAAGAATTTAGCTAAGGTAAGAATGATTGAACCAGCGCAGATAAGTAATTAGAAAAAAAGCTCAGCAATCGCACTGCGTTCTAAGAAGTAATCTATGTAGGTGGAGAGAGAGATTGATTACTAAATCTTTGTTCATAGAATCTACACCCTAAACATGCAACAGAAATGACTCAACGCAAATACCAAAGATATGGAAGATATTATTACCACCAGTCAAATCAGAGGAGGATAATAAATAGTCTTAAAATTCTATTTCAGTTCACATACATTATAACATTCTAACAAGTTACTTATTTTTACTGTAAAAAACATCTTATTTCCCATCTGACTGCATTTGATTGATAACACTAATATTACTTCTGAATGTACTTTATCTCATACTGATTTTATTCAAATGTCTAATCATCACTTCTTACACATGTACACAAATGAACCAAGAAAGTGTACATGTACACTTAAGTAGTGCCTTGATATGATTATGAGCAACAGCTTTTGCTCGAAATGTGGTCATCAGTTAATATTACTGTAATAAAATCTTATTCATAATGGAGTGCATTGTGACTTCTAATTTATTTCGTCTCTTCTCATAACCATTCATGTACTTTTTTTAGCCTCAGTCATAATTTGTGCCACCTGATATTCATAGTCATTGGTTTAACCTCTTCAGGAGGTCTGTCTCTAGTTCCCAATATATCTTGCTTCATTGATGTAGTATCTTCATAAATTAATCATACATTTTGACGACTGATTGAATATGCCCACCCACTATATGTGTACATATTCTGAAATGAAGATTAATAGGAACTTCTCATTCCTTGATATGTATCCGCGCTTATCATTCATTAAAGTGATTCTTGTTTCTTCTTTGCCTTCCATTTCAGTAAACGTGATACCCATTTGGAACCACTTCGGCAGTCGTGGCAAGTATGTGTGAATAAAATGTATTATCATATTGTGAGATTCCATCCCGTTATATGACGATGCAGCTTTTTCTTGGCATATCAGCCAGTCATTATCACTATCATATGGGGCCTGGTATTACTGTAACCTCGACCTAAATGCCGCATATTGTATATTAAGTAGAAGATATTAGAAACTAGTCGAAATTAAAAGTCGTTGTATACTGTTATCTGACAGAAGGGAAAGAGATGAAAATCGTTATAACAGTTAAGATACCATCAATCCCGATCTTGAGGCACACCACTTAGACTGTCTGTAAACGATTTCGGTAGTCATATGGATCGATAAGTGCATTTCTTTACAGTACTCAGATCATCTATAGTCAATGAACTGAAGGTTTTATATCATGTCTGAATCTGCTCACTGTGTAATCTCTTCAAAACTAATCCCGCTTCTTAGTGTGGTTGTGCTTTGTAAACTGGGTAGTTAAATTGATAAGTTTCCATCGTCCTTCTAGTCAGTAAATTAGACTCCCTTACTTCAATGTGAAATCAAATTTTCAAGCCTTTCATCAATCATATAACTGTCTCTTGTTATCTCGACTGCGACTGTTGTCCTTCAAAAGTTTTCTTATGCCCATGTTAATTTGTGTTGGTATCGATCCTCTTCTTAACCTGATCTCATAGGTAATACCTGACCCCTCCGGAAACTTCAGGCACTTCAAGTTTGACTTACTAAATGGTTTCAACGTAGAACTTTGCACCGATGTGTAGCAGTTCAAGTCGCCACACTCCATGAAGCACACAAAGCGAGAGAAGAAAGTAGAAAAAAAATGCAAAATAGAGACAGTAGACAGGGATATGAGGCAAAGAGAACAGTAATATTGAAGAACAATATAGTTTTATTGGAAATCATAAGTCACCAAGAGTGGATGCATCTGCGCCAGCCGTTGAGAACGACTTTGAGCCATATCACCGATAGTCTCCAGCCTTCATTGGTTTTTTACCGTCCCGAGAACCCCAACCTATCAGGAAGTCTACACGTCTCTACGTGACTGGCTGGTTGGCCTAAACTAACTGTTGTGGATTCCATTGACTAATGAAGCCATGTTTTGGTTTGACCACCACTGACTCTTTTCCATCCTGATCCATCCTATGTCAGCGAACACTGACTGTCGAGGAAGGCGATGGCTAGACATGCGTTACACATGTCCTAACCATCTTAGTCGCTGTAGCTTCACAGTCTCGTCTACTGATTTCCCCTCCTTACCTTGCACTCGACTGAAGCCTAATCTCAATATTACTCACCTTATTATACCACTTAACATGGGAGATAGCGGGCAACTATGATGAAAGACAGTTAGCTGGCCTTTTCGTGTCTTCTACACTCAATGGCCAGGTGTAACACCCATAAAGGAGGACGGAGTGGACTGCTGAGCACTACACACCACTTTAGGTTTATAATAGTATCAATCGATTTGTCTGTCTTACCTAAGATTATTTGGCCAACTTGCATAGAGCTCTTGTGATGATTTTGCTAAGTGTGAGGTATTACAATTAAGACAGCACTATTTAAGTATTTTTTTTAGTGTTTTGAACATATCTTTTCGATAGTATTGTTACGTAATCATAAGGTAGGACACAGTACTCTATCGTACATTTCACACCTGTCGTAGTATGCAATCGCATTCCATGTAAGCAACACAATTTGTTAAAGTACGGGTGTCTTTTTTATCCTCACTTGGTATATACAATGGCGAAAAGTGAATTAGAGAATTATCAAATAAACTACTAAGCAGTGGAATTTATTAGACTGTGAGCTACATTTAGTGTATAGTGTTTTATGATACTATCTGGATGCCTAGTTTCAACTAGTTGCATTGAATTTCGGTCTGAGGACATCGCGACGCAAAGCTCTGTTTTAATTAGACAGTCAAATGTCTCTGTACTTGCAAGTTCTAAGTTAACTGTCGTGAGCCAGATGTTGAAAGCACTGCCGCTTCTCACAACATGGAGCAAATTCACGCACGTTGCTAGCCAGACAACACTAACAGCTGAAACTGCGCACTACCGATCAGAGGCAGAGTCCATTAACTCCCATGACAATGCGCATGGAAACCTATAAAAAGAAGCAAAGAAATCAACCTCCAACTAAACCGATACATATCTGATCTCAGCTTATTTGACTCGACCCCAAAGGCGAATCCTTTTTCCGAAGTTACGTATGCAATTTACTGACTTCCACTACTTACATTGTTCACTTTTCACCTTGGAAAACTGCTTCGGATATGAGTTAGGCCTGCCACGGAAATTATACTACCTGGCTGGAATTTTCAAAGGCTGACAAGAGCGTTCCAGACACCACAAAACGGGTGGTCTTTACTGAGGCTGAATCCATTGGTTAGTTCTCAAATGCTTAAAACAAATCTTAAATCTACCAAGTAGGTATACATGTATGTCAACTTGAATCACCGTCTTAGGAAGAATATTTTCAACATGATGTGATTGTGAGCAGCAATACATTTTAGTCGAAATGTCATCAGTAAATAATACTATATCATTGTGTATGCTATCAAATACAATTGTATAATTATGTAATACTTTACAAAATAAATGCTAATCGTAGTGTGGAGTGAAAGTAGACATGTCGTCTGTTATACTACATTATTGAGACATTTTCCTTTTCGAACTGTTCAAAGCACGGCTAATTTGATATGATTAATTTGAAGGCAATGCTTGTTTCAATTCGTGGTAGTAGTAGTAGTAGTAGAGGAAAACATTGGATGCGCTCAATATAAAATCAAGATTCGGATTTTCAGTACCAGTGTTAAGTCAGTTCTTCTATATTGGATCAGGAATGGCCCACGCGTCACGAAAATCATTTACAAGAGCTCACTGAATACTTTTATCAACAGCTGCCTTATCTGGCTCCATGTTGAAGATCAGATGATAAACCAACAAGAATTAGTTAACTAGGAACTCTAACCGGGAACCAACCAATCAAGAACCTACTGCTGAACAAATATTCCGAAGGAAATGGAAATGGATCTCATATACGCCGATGGGACCGTTAGGTGACATCGTGCAACCAGGTCATAGCTAGAATGGAACCCGAAAGGGGAACGACGAGTTGGGTGTGCGTCGGAAGGAGAAGTGGAGAAGATGGTGTGAGGAGTAGATAAAAGCTTATAGGCAGTCGTGGAGTCAGCTAAAGAGGATTACAGAGGACAGAACTAAATGGAGATGTGTTGCTGAAGTCCTCTGTTCCAGTCGGCATTCAAGGGAATAATAATAAAGTACCAGAGAGGAGACTGGCGACTCATAATGTTTGTTTAATTTTTTATGTCTACTTTATTGACGCTTCATCAACATTTACGTTTTTAGGAGGTACGAGGGAAAGTCATCTAGTATAATGATGAATTATTCAAGACCAAACAATAAAACCCAAAGAACTCTAGATAATTTTTGTGCTCCGATTAATTTGTATGCATAATTTTCAAGTGGATCTAGGTTACCGCCTGTACAACATTTCTATGTGTACTGTAATGTCCCTTTGGTAATGGTGTTTCGGATACCACTGGCTCGAACCCCACTGTGGCCCAGATTCTTATTTCACCTGCAGTCATTAAAATGAATATTCATAAGTGACTGTGAGTCGAGATTGACGAAATAAGTCGTTTTATTTCCTTTAACTACAGATCACTAGCTAGTTTTGTTCTATTAATGGTTAAACTTAGTTGCTGTCATTAGACAGAAACTGAAGATTGGTTGAAGAATTTCATCATGAGCTGACATCAGTTAGATAACCATTGTAAAACCTGTGGGGAGTACTGGACAGCCAGCTGTTTCATCCTAATTTGGGGCTCTTCAGCAGTACGCGTCCACCGGGGTTCGAAACCAGGGCCTTCTGATTACAAGGCTAGCGAGCTCGTAGACCATTAAGCCAGCTGGACCCGATCCAATTCACGACATAGCACGACCACTTCGCAATGTCTTTCTCGGTGAGTTACTGCGTCACCTTCAACCTGCTACACCCTACTGGTCACGGCTTCCCACTAGAACCCTAGGTTACTGCTTGGATAGAGCCAGTCGCCAGTGAGCATCAGGTCAATTTCGAAGTTTTGGTTTTGTAGGGATTTTGTTTGATGATGAAATCCAACCAATCAAATAAAAATGCCTACAAAACCAATGCTGGAAACAGAAGAACTTGAACTTTTAACACTCCTATCATGAGATGAATGTATGTCTTATTCATAAAGTTCAGTTAGTTGGTTTGTCAGAATAAGTATAAATATTGCATTTCATATGAATTAGTTAAAGTGTCTTTTAAATCTTTGGAATGTTTAACTTAACTCTTATGCTCTCATAATCCCGTCAAAGTTGTTGTCAATGGCGCAGATGAGTATTTACTTCTATAGTCTCTCATATTCAAATAAGCTGTTACTATTCTTTCTCACTCACAACATTTCTGTTTATTCTAGCCTTTTTGAATCTACCTTTGTATGCTGCGTGGAGGAGTGTGATAGCTTGAATTGCTCCACTTCTGCGCAAAGTTCTTTGGTGAAAACAATCAGTTGCATAATCTCTGATTTACGTTTTTCACTTTGACATATCTCTCATAGTTTACTGCTTTACTGACATGTTCTTGTTCACGAAGTAAAATTTTTTGAAAAAGTATACTTCTAACCAGAATTTACTGTGATCTTTTCTTCTATCAAAAACATGTCAATGAAGGACAACAGTTTAACAGAAGTCATCCAGTTTTATTTGTGTGTCAATAGTTTTGTTGGTGGGTATGACAGTGCTATGTGCTTAACACACTTTCTTCTTAACACCTTTTTAATTGCGTCTATGGAGTGTTGAAATTTTAGGGAGGTGTTAGTCGAAGCTTAAGGTTACGTAGATGTGTATCTGTGTATCAGATACATCTAGTATTAGGTAAGGAGGAGAAATCAATAGACGAGGCTGTGAAGTCACATCGACTGAGATAGGTCATGTGTTACGTATGCCTAGCCATCGCCTTCCTCGACAGTCAGTGTTCGCTGACATAGGATGGATCAGGATGAAAGAGTCAGTGGTGGTCAACCCAAAACATGGCTTCATTAGTCAATGAATCCACAACAGTTAGTGTAAGCCAGCCAGTCACGTAAAGGGGTGTAGACTTCCTGATAGGTTGGAGTTTCGGGACAGTAAAAACCAATGAAGGCTGGAGACTATCGGTGATATGGCTCAAAGTCGTTCTCAACGGCTGGCGCAGATGCATTCACTCTTGGTGACTTATGATTTCCAATAAAACTATATTGTTCTTCAATATTACTGTTCTCTTTGCCTCATATCCCTGTCTACTGTCTCTATTTTGCATTTTTTTACTCTCTTCTCTTGCTTTGTGTGGTATATGGATTGAGTGTGGCGACTCGAACTGCTGCACATCTGTGCAAAGTTCTACGTTGATATCAGTCAGCTGGTTAGTATTTGTGTATCACTTTGGCGTATAACTTCCTTTACTTCATCCTCGACGATTGTGAAGTGTGATAGGCTTGCAAATGTTAAGTGTACTTTGTAGTTTAACGCAGTCATGTTTCATTAGAAAGGGTTCACATATGCGCTTCAGTAGACATTCAAGTCTGTTTGATACATATACCGATTAACGAGGGTTTTTCAGTTTTCATCTTAAAATTAAACTGTTTGATAAAGTAAAATTCTTTTAATTCACCTTAGTTTTGTGTTTTCATTCTTTTTTAAAATAGCTTACTCCAGCTGGTAAAATGTGCTATGTAAGCAAACCTTGGATTATTCGATTTTGGACATGGGCTGAACCAGGTCCTATGACATCAGAATTCCTATGTGAACATGGTTATTTTCGACCAGAGCTATGGGAATTACGTAATGCATTGACTTTATCCATCCCAGAAAATATTTGGTCTAATCTTCATGATATGTAAGTGGAATTATTTTTACCTTGAGTTTTGTACAATGCCTTCATGTAAGTATTTTTGTTTGAATTGTGTTTATGTTTACTTTGTGAGTTGTGTAGTTTAAGTTGTTCCGTGGCCTTGTGACGATAGAAGGCGAAAGACTTAGTAAAAGAATCTTTATTTGAATTTTGGTATTTTTATATAGCTAAATTATGTACATCTTATCTTCAAATAACCCTTTGCACAGATCTTCCGTGTTGTGCTAACTCTGGTCTTACTTCATATTGTGTTTTGTTGTATTCCTTTCACATCTTCCATGTATCTCCGCAACGCTGTACCATATCAAATCTATCTTCCTGCTATTTGATGTCTTTTATGTCGATGAACATCTGTTGTATTTTTTATTTTTTGATTACAGCTTGATTCCACACTGTATTTTTGGTACTAGTATGAAATTGATGATATTAGATGGTTGTAGACAATCGGCTGGAAGCCTTGGACCTAGGTTTCGTGTTAGTTGGCACCCATCAGCAAGGCGTATCTGCAACCTTGAAGGAACTCATGTCCCTTCTGATATTCGAACCGGCGTCACCCAGTGCTGCAGTCAAAGACGTCAATCGCGAGCCCTAATAGCTCAGTGGTAACGTCTCTGACTGCAGCACTGGGTGACGCGGGTTCGAATCTCAGAAGGGACATGAGTTCCTTCAAGATTGCAGATACGCCTCGCTGATGGAATGCCAACTAACACGAAACCTATGTCGAAGGCTTCCAGCCGATTGCCTCCAACCATCTAATATCATCAAATCAATGTGCACCGTAATGTCCATCTAGCTAGAATGGTGGCCACATTGCAAATCTGACTGATAAAAATCAGTCTGCACCAAAGAAAGGACTAAAAACGTCACACTAGTTACTAGTGTCCAATCAAAATACTAGTATGGAATTTTCAGCATGTGATATCGGTAGCCCAAAATTTGCAGGCCGACAATAGATATCAGGTGTACGTCAGCAGGGGATCGAACCTCGGACCATGTGCATGGTCGGCGAGAGTCCTAACCACTGTGCCACCGATGCATATATACTATACTCCATATATACTGCTGATAAGTCTCATCAGTAGTACACGCCACAGCCTTACTCATCATGCTGTTTTGTATTTGTGTGGGTTCCTAAACTCGAATGATGGAATCAATGTAACTCTCTGTGTGTGTAGTTGATTGTTTTGTTATCATGCTTTCTTCATCTACAGATGTATCCGAATGAGGACTATGAAAAAGTTTACCTCAATGTGTTGTTATAGGCAGTCATGCCGAAAATGGTAAAAGGTGTTACTCCATGTTGAGTTTCTGTTCACACAAACAATTAAAGATTATCCGGTAGCTATTTAATCTGTTGTTTTTTTTTCTTGAATTTCAAAGTTTGCATCTCTGCACACCATTGATTAATTAACCACTAGTGAAAAGTTTCACAGGTGTATTAATGACTGGTGACCTGTTTAAAATCTGGGTCACCAAAATACTCCGTCATCATATTGCACGTAATTTCTCATGTTCAGTTTGTTTAAACCTCTTAGAATGTGATCTCTAATGCTGTTTTCTACTCTTGTGAATATTTAAACTGCCTACAGCCTGCTGATTCTCAAGTTTCTGTTAAACTTGTGAAGAAGCAAAATCTTGTGTTGCAACGCACATTCCAGTACATGAGAAAGGTGTTCCTGAGATTTTTATCGAAAATTTCCGCTGTCTGAGAAATAAAACTACAATTAACTACGGTAATTAATAGTGTTCTCTGAGGTGGTTGGTTTAGTTGCAGAGCTTTAATTATAAATCATCCACCTGAGCTACAAATCTTCTCTATTTATTTCAATTAACTACAATCTTCAATTATTCAGCTAGGGTTAAAAATTGTCCTCCTGCACCTTTCCTAATTGACTTTCAACCAAATATTGTACATTTTTTGAAGGAGGGAGGCAAAGAAGAAATCTTATACAGGGGGGGGACTGGTTTCCGCTTCAGGTGAGGAGGCCGAAATGTGTCAAACAGCCATCTATCGATTGATACATTACTTGAAGATCCTGGACAAAGAGAAACTACTATGCAATAATTCCCGCTGAATATTGGGCATATTATATATAAACATTGTTCAGAATAAAGCCATTATTATTAATATCAAACTAACGGCGGGATGCTTCGTCTGTAGTTTGACTTGTTATGCCATCCAACAGTTAATTATCAAGAAATCTTTCAATGGGATTCGGTTTTCTTTTCGACGAAGTCATCAACTAGACTGTACATTCGTGTATTTATATTACATGTGTGAGAAAGTTCCAGAATTAATTCTGGTCAGAGGTCAAGTTCGAAATCACAGTGTGTGTGTGTGTGTGTGTGTGTAATAATCAGGAAGATCAGGTAGAAAAGACAAAATAGGATTATAATTACTAGTCAGTTTGTATAATTACGGGTTAAGGATGTAGTAATAACGAAATGGGTAGGAGGTTCAGACATACACAGATAAAAACAGTAACCAAATCTAATAACGCAGATAGGGATTTAAAAAGTAAATATAACAAATAAACGGGAAGGTTGAATATGAAGGGTAGTAGGATAATCATTATTGGTAAGACTGACTTTTCGTGATGGTCACAGTAAGGACAACGGTTGGAAGAATTTTTTTCGGACACAAAGAATAGGCTTGAGTTTTTGGATCGCCAGTGTCTTAACCATTCCCACTAACTAGAAGAAATGTTACTACGATGCACTTTCAACGTATACTTTAGTTTCAACAACTAAATATACAAGCAAGTAGATGGACTAGCAATGGTTCCTTCTCTAGACAACCTCTTGGCCGACTGCTTCATGGTTAGCCTAGAAAACATCTTATCATCAACTATTCGTGATCTCTATCTTTACAAGAGATATATCGATGATACTTTCATTATTTGTGATGAGAATAGTGATCTAAAAAACATACTTCAAATCTTCAATAACATCAACCCAAACTTCGACTTCACCAAGAAATTTGAGTCAAAATCAATGTTTCATTTCCTCGACTTTCAACTACGAAAGAATGCAGACAACTCTTTAAGAAGATCCATCTACAAAAAGCTCACTTGGAACGGATGGTTAGTTGGATGGAAAGTTGTGTGCCTCTAAGCAGAAAGAGAAACCTAATATACTCTCTTTTCTCGACGATTCGGAAGATTTGCACTGAAAAGTTAATCGATGAAGAATTACAAAATCGTCAAGGGACCTTGAAAGAAAATGAATTCCCACCCAGAATCATAGACAAGAATCTAAAACCAAGGAAAACACCTGAAAAGGTCCAAGTCACCCCCCAAAAGATGCTTATATTGAACGTCGAATTTAAAAGTGATACCGAAGCAGAAATTCTCTGTAGACGGCTTTCGAAGTCTCTCAGTAAAACATACTTCGCCACCAGTCTACGAGTAACATTCTCCTGCAAGACACTACTCATCGAACACGTAGTAGACAAGCTGTCGCATTGGGCCATGTACAAGTTCACTTGCTCGTGTGGAACTGAGTACATTGGCCGTACCATGCGTCCGCTTGTAAAACGCAAGCGGAAACCCTATCCAGCATGGCTAGCAAAGGAAGAAAACAAAAGGGTATGCAATTCGATAACAGAATACCTGGTAAATCCTGGAGATTCAGCCACATTTGAAAAGTCCTTCAAAGTCATATACAAGATTCGATCAAAACCATCAAAGGGAGTGAAATCAAGACATCTAGGAATAGATGCAGCACTAGGGATCTAAAAACTCAAGCCTATTCTTTGTGTCCGAAAAAAATTCTTCCAACCGTTGTCCTTACTGTGACCATCACGAAAAGTCAGTCTTACCAATAATGATTATCCTACTACCCTTCATATCCAACCTTCCTGTTTATTTGTTATATTTACCTTTTAATTCTCTATCTGCGTTATTAGATTTGGTTACTGTTTTTATCTGTGTATGTCTGAACCTCTTACCCATTTCGTTATTACTACATCCTTAACCCGTAATTATACAAACTGACTAGTCTTCTAGTAATTATAATCCTATTTTGTCTTTTCTACCTGATCTTCCTGGTTATTACACACACACACACACACACACTGTGATTTCGAACTTGACCTCTGACCAGAAATAATTCTGGAACTTTCTCACACATGTAATATAAACACACGAATGTACAGTCTAGTTGATGACTTCATCGAAGTGAAAATTTTCTTCACTTCTAGCGTCTTTTTAATAATTAGTTTTGCTTCAGTCAATAATTTTTTCATAGAGTAGTGGTTCGTTGAAATTGGATCAACTGAAGATACTTTTTGTCATCATATTAAGTGTACCTCTTTTACCCCATATTCATTTTTGTTGAATATATATATATATATATGGGCGTCAGTGGCACAGTTGTTAGGACGCTCGCCGACCATTCACATCGTCCGGGGTTCGATCCCCGGCCGACGCACTCCTTTACCTCAGTCAGCCAGAAATAATGCTGGTTGGGCAAGAGGCAAGCAACCCCATCCTGTAAAATAAACACTTCAAAAACTTGAAGCCGCTAGCTTAAAGCCCTGTGTTCCATTGGGAACGAGAAGGAAAAAGTATTATTTATTTTTGTATGGAGGATTTAATCATGAGCTGACTTCAGTTAGAGAACCACTGGAAAACCTGGGAGTACTGGACAACTGTTTCGTCCTAGTTTGGGACTCCTCATCAGTACGCACCCACCGGGGTTCGAACCCAGGACCTTCTGGTTACAAGGCTAGCGAGCTCGTAGACCATTAAGCCAACTGGACCCGATCCAATGGCCATCCCATGAATTTTAACTTCTGCCAATTCACGACATAGCACGACCACTTCGAAATGACTTCTTCAATGACCTACTGCCCCACCTTCGACCTACTGTACTCTACTGGTCACGGCTTCCCACTAGAACCCCAGGTTAACTACCTGAATGTCAGCTCATGATTAAATCCTCCATGCAATCAAACCAAATCCCTACAAAACCAATACTTGAAATTATTATATATTATATATTATATGTGAACACTTGGAGATTTATGTTGAAATTTCTTTAAAGAGACAGGATTGTAGTGTGTTAGTCTATTCTTTGTCTGATAACTTATATGCAGTTGGAGACGTGTGAGCCTTTGGCACTCTACTGTTCAGCCATTAAGTGTTAGGTTCGAGTTTTACTCCACCAATTTCAGTCCACTTCCAATTGCCTCAGATATTCAGTGGTTTATTTGTACACATTCATGTACATAAGTCTGTTACAATGTGAATTTCTTCATGACTCATGTGAAGGTTCTGAAGGGTTTGATCCCTGGTGCAGTTGTGCATGCACACTACTTGTCGTCCTAAGCTAGAATGAAACTGTAATAGAGATATTGTTTGAAAAATCCCGTGTGGACAGTCGAATCACAATAGTTATACTTATTTGGACGTTCTAACTGTTTTTCTCCTAGACTGTGTATCTTTGGCCTGACATTTACTAACCATATGTCAACTTGATCCTTATTATTTGTCTTTGTCATTGTTTAATGTGTAATCCTAATGCTCCTCTCCATGGTTGTGTTGTGATATTGGTAGTGTGTTGTTTAACGACGTGATTTTGTTTGAGTGAATCAAAGTGATCCTTATCTTGGACTATCCACAGGAAACGTTAGTATGTAATTCTTGTGGATAGAGTGTTTGACACCCACCTGTTTGGGGGTATTCTACTTGATTCTCGGGTACTTCTTACAGTTGACCTTTGGTTAACTAATTTTGTTTTTACAGTACTTGTTTTTTGTTTAGAAACTTATATCATCTGCTCAACGGCTCTGTTTTCCTATTGTTGAATAGAACTGTTCATAGGTTTATTGAAGAATAATCGTCTTTCTACTGTCTTTTGGGCGTTCTGTGACTATGAGTCTCTCATGAAAGTTTCGGACAGCTGTACACAGTTCAGCGTCAATATCAGTTTAGAAACAAGCAACTGTCCAGTGCTCCCCTAGTTTTCAATGATCTGTTTAACTTTGATGCTGGTTTGTGGTGAAATCTATGTTAAAATTATTTCAGATCCCTGGAAAAGCTCATAATCTGAATATTTGTCTGTTTGTTGGAATCACTTTTTATTTCGATTGAAAACGTCATCTACCGAGGTTTATGTTTTAGCAGCACTAATTTGATATGGGAAATCACTAAACAGCTATTTTGTCATATAGTTTATGATTTTGATGGTACACCCTCTCTCTCTCACTACTTCGCGAATTTTTTTTAATCGAATACAATGCCGTAGCATTTATCCACTGGGTCTGCTTCCTGTCTCTGAGATTTTCCAACTCAGATTTATGTATATATATATGTGTGTGTGTTATTAGCAGTTCCACGACTGACTGCCTAACAAACTCCTTAACTGATTGAATGTCTATCTCATATCTTTACTTATAAACAGTCTTTTTTTATTAATTTGTTGATGTGATGTTCTTTTTCTACAATTGTTACAACACGCATTGTCCAGTGCAGTACATAGTTTGTATTTGATACTCCTTTTATTTATGATGTAACGTTTAGCGAAACGTAGTAATTCTTTTTACCTTCTATTAATACATGCTTGTTATATTTTAGGCTTTTTCACAGCATCCTTTGCTCATTCTCATAAGAAATTGAATCGATTCATCTTGTGTGAGATTATAATATCTCCAAGTGAACATAGACAAGACAGAGGTGATGAAAATAATCAACCAACAGCAATAGCAGCAGCAACAACATCCAGCGTCAATCACCATCAACGGGAGGGATTTGAAAGAGGTCACTTCATTCACTTATCTAGGGAGCATTGTTTCAACTACAGGAAGTCGGAACGGACGAGGATGTCAAATCAAGCGAGAACCGGGAAGACGAGAAACACGTTGTTCATCAACCTGAAACCAATGTGGAAATCTTCGTCACTCCACTCAGCATCAATAACAAAATTCGGTCGGATTTTCAATACAAACAGCGTCAAGTCAGTCAGTTCACCTATACGGATCAGAAACTTGGCGGGTGAGTCACAAAGAATATTTTCAACAGCCTGTTACAGTCCTTTATCAACCAACAACTGTCTTCGCTGGATCTATACTGAAGATCAGATCAGATGGCCAGGCTGGAAAGAATCACCAACTATGGGAAACTATGGGAAGAAACAAAACAAGAACCAATCGCCAACCAACAAATATGCATGAGAAAGTGGAGATGGATTGGACACTCGCTGAGGAGGCCGCTGGGTGACATCGCGCGCGAGTCAGGCCACCGCTCGAGTGGAGCCTGAAAGGGAAGCGGCGAGTGGGTCGTCGGTGCAAGGGTGACATGGAGGAGATTGTGTGAAGAGGAGTTGAAACCAAATGAACTGTAGTCAAGATTTGACAGAATAGTTCTATAATATTTGGGCAAATCATGACTACAGTTCATTTGATTTATTTTGTAATCGAATTAAATTAACAAAGAAACTATGTAATTGGCACAATCATCGTGTTTCCACTGTCCGTTGTCTGCAGCAGAATGCGTATCCTAAATTCATATCTGTCCAGTCGCCTGACAACTTCAGTAGGTCGAATAAAGCAGCTCAATTTTCAGAAAGAAGACAAAGTAATAAGTTTGACAGGGTTGTTCAACTAAACTCTAATCCTAAACACCATAATTTTGCAAGTACGTCTAATCATAAAATTCTAGATACTAACAGTTTGAACCGACAAGAAGGTGTGATGTTAGATGACGCATAGGAAATCCTGCTTAATAAATAAGAATGGATATGTATCACTAACTAATAATACTTGCTCAAAGTTTCCCGACTGTCTATATCTACTTATGGAGACGTTAAGACATTGTTTTACAACTGTTTATCCGCACACACACACATACACACTGTGTTTAAAGTGTTTAACAAAGGTAGATCAATATTTGTAAGTCTGAGGTCAAATTTTGATCACAACTCGTACAATTTTGTTTATTATACTTGTTAATATTTGTTTTATAAATCATGATTGGACAAAGTTTTCAAAAACAAAAGATGTTCCTTTTATATATAAACCTGTTATGTTAATTTCGACTAATTTCCCTGAAGAAGTTCGGACCAGATTGCCGAATGTACGAAACGTTGGAATTACTCATTTCAATATCGCTGAGATTTTACAAATATAATTTTTTACAAAGGAGTTGAAACAGTATGGACTAACATGGATGCAGGTGAAAAGTACAGTAGAAGCAAGACAGAAGCAAGTGGAGACGTGCAGTTGAAGCCCTATATTCCACTAGGAACCCAAGGGAGCAATAATAATAATATTCCCATATATGTTAAATATCGTTTTGTCTTAGTCAATCTCAATGAACTGGATAAATAAGCGTCGATTTTATGGTATAGCAAAAGTTAATTCTTATTATATATTTCTTTCTTTTTAAAATAAGGTTTGGAGGTCATGAAATGATTCAAGAATTGATTCCCTGTAATGACTGTTGTGATGCTATAACTAAAAGACAGAAATATGAACTTTCAGAAGTGATGAGGGTGAGTGTGAGCTAATTAACCTGTATCAAAATTTTGTTTCTTTCTCACATTATTTTGTTGTTGGTGTTGTTGTAAAGAAATATACAAGACCAGTTTTTGGTTAAAAGGGTTCTGGTTGACAACTATTATCCACTTCATTGAAGGAATTGTTAAAGTTGTGTTTTTTTGACGCCTTTTATTTATATACATGGAACACGATTTAAGCAAGCAAATATTCATTTCCCGGAGGGGGGGAATCTTATTAGGAGGCGCTAAATCACAAATTGGTAGAAGTTAGAATTCATGGGTTGGCCATTGAATAGAGTCCCAGGGACTGAATGGTATACGAGCTCGCTAGCCTTGTAACCAGAAGGTCCTGGGTTCAAACTCCGTCCGGTGGATGCGTACTACCGATGATTCCCAAACTAGGATGAAACAGCTGTCCAGTACTCCAGTGCTGCTTTTCAATGGTGGTTCTCTAACAGATATCAATCCGTAGTAAAACTCGTATAAACAAATTTAATCCTTACAAACCAAACTCTTGAAAATAAAATATCAGTCATTTGAAATATTTTAAAGAATGTGGGTTGGTAGAATTAAATATATATGTAAGGAGAATGTAAATAGACTATTAATAGTAATAATGATAAATTGTGAAACTAAAATTAGTTACTGAACAAATATTTTTTTCGATGACTTCATCATCTGGTTCTACAGTTTTGTATACATAATAGTGATGGTGATTCCTCGATTAAAAGATGAAATACCTAGACTAGCCACTTGTAATTGTGTCCACCGATTCAGCTACGCCTGTTGTGGGGCGGGTTATATTGGCCGTTGCTCCAGAAACTTGAATTTTTGTGTTTGCTCGGGAATATCTCCCAGTATGGCTAAGTAAAGGTGTAGTGAAAACCACTGACAGTTCGATATTGGACCATCCAGTCCAAACCGGCCACAAAACCAGCCAGCATTGAGGAATCCTTCTCTATCATCTACCGGGTGCCAAATAAACTGCCGAAAACATCGAAGCACCGCATGCTCCAAACAGCAGAGGCTATTTCAATTCGCGTGAAATAATCAGTACTGTGTGTGCAAAAGAAACAAGTCCCGCCAGCCACTACTACTGCCCTGGTCGGCCTTCAGTGGAGACTGTAGATTCATGAATTTGTATTATTAGATTATTATTTCCTAATTTTTGTGATATTCAGTGTATTGTTATGTTGATGCCATCGAAACGTGATCCCTTGTAATTATTATTATTATTGATTCGATGTTATTTAAACAACAATAATGTTGTTCATAGCGCTAATACATCCACTCACCATTACCTAAATATAACTGTAGGGCTTGATGATGAAATTATCGAAAAGGATATTCGTCGTTCAGTAACCATTCTTTAAAAAAAAATTCTAATAGGCATTTTCAATCAATTAGGCTGATTAAAATATGCACCTATTGCACCGTATGCTGTTGATAATAGAGTCTGTCTGTCTGTCTGGATTCAACATAGAACTTGGCACCGAAGTGCAGCAGTTCGAGTTGCCACGTGATAATAGAGTTTGCAGTACAAGTAAAAATAAAAGTAATATTTACAGTTATCCTGTGTCACGGGCAGAGATAACTACTGTAGTTTGGATTGGTAGGTCATGGGAGAGAGAAGGATTGAACAAACCTCTTCTGAACACAGAGATTGGATTGGAACATTGTTATGACACCTACCTCAGTTGTGCTTAACAAGTAATTGAAAGGTGTACAAACTTGGGGTAGTAATGTGGATCATTTTATAGTATTGTACGGACGGAACTTTTATCAATCTCGTGATCCGTATCCACAAAGGTGTGCCGGTATGGAACTGCTGATTGACCTTACGACTCTTTTACCTAACGACGTAGAACAATGGTCAAGAAGGCGACGATGGGCTTTCCTAGTCCATCTATCCATGGAATTGTCTTCACAAGAACAGTTAAATTTATAAATGCATATTGGAGTGGACAGAATCGGTAGCTTATCCCTCACCTGCAGAGGAATTATTCAACGACTGGTGAATTTTTAAACATAGTTTTGTGGCAAAGTATGTTTTAGCTATTATTTCTTAGAGTTTCTATGTCAGTAATTCAGTGGCTATGCCTCCTTTGAACGCTGAAGTCATCTATATGTATATACCTTCCTTCTGAATAGTTTGCAGGTATTTCCCTCTATATGTTCCCATCTTGGAGACTTTAAAAATGTTTTCTGGATATCGGTTCTCATACGATAAGGTTTCCATTTTTCCTTATTTCTTCATCAAGATTGTCGGTTGTGCAGATTTATTCAGCATGAAATGTCAGGGTATTGATTAGATTTCGTTTGTATGCAAGAGGAACAGACGATCTGAAATGTGTGTATTGACCAACCCTTTATATTTCCCGGAAAATACCAAGCAAAATACTGTCATCTTGCTTCTTGTTAGCAGGACATCAATACATGATAAAGTGTTGTCTTTCTTTGTATTGTATATGAACTCAGTTTGTTGGTGAACTATTTTTGAACATTTTGAGTAAGACCTTGGTGTCGATTTTTATTCTTATACAAGATGAAAGTATCTTCCGTGTATCGTTGAGGTTACATTTTTCAATAGCGTATTCCCTAATTTTGGCGTAAACGTATTGGTTAAGAGGTAGACCCAGGGGGAGCCCATTATTACACTCTCCATCTGATGATAGATTTTGTTGATAAGGTAAAACTGTGGACATTCATCATACAACAGAGTAGCAGTTTTCGACTTAGCAGTCACCCTTTTACATGACCTTCGGTCAGGTGTGTGAATAATTTATTAATTAGAGTTAACAAAACATGCACATACTGTGGAAGCTTGACAGGATAACTGGCCTTTTTAGGTAGAGGGGGGGTGCTAGTATTGGTTTTTTGTGGTAGACTGGCAGAAATATGAACAGATCGGAGAACACTATAACCTGTAGTCATATTATGTGACTTTTATTGCTCCTTAATTCTGCCTATTTGCTGTCAAAGTGGTCAGTAGTGGTAAGATCAATCGGGGTGACTGCTATAAGTTTAACTTTGCCCAGTTTTGCTTCTAATATCGAATATGCGTTTAACTGATCTATCTGTCTGGATTCAACATAGAACTTGGCACCGAAGTGCAGCAGTTCGAGTTGCCACGTTCCAACGTTAACTGATAGTGGTTCGTTAAATCATTTAAGATGTAAATACAAGGTTAGCCAACTGATTGATGAGAAAAAGGGTGCACCAGTTGTAAATAAATATGTTCCCTTTCCACTCAACCATATAGTTTCTCTGTTGGAAGTCAATCATTTGATGTGCATGTAGTAGCATTATGTAAATAGTTACGTCATTATATTGCTTCCAAGCTGAAGACCTAAAAGAACATCCTCGCTTACGACGAGTGACATTATCATATAATAGTTCTGTTCATCGTATGTCTACTAAACATGTCTTCATAGGCAATTAACTCACTGATTCTAACATAGAAATCTGCGGTGAAGTATAGCATTTCGAGTTATCACACTCCATGTAGCACACAGAGGGAGAAACTTACTTTATTTATTTCGGCTATCTCCTATGGGAGGATGAACCGGCTTCATGAACATCTCGAATGTTTGTAAGAGAGTTGATGAAGTTTCATGGGAATTGGGTACGAGTGATGTCCCCAGAATCGCTCAGCCTTTTGTTTGAGAGTGCAGTTCTAGCCTTTACACAACCAAGTGTGACCTACAAGGCAGTAGGAGTGGAGTAGTAAGTCCACTATCCATTGGTAGCCGGTGACTGGAGTCCGGTTCATACGCCTTTTTGAATGGGGCCAGACATCCAGGGCATCCAATAAGCCCTTTGTCCATACATCTGCTGGTGAACTCCGGTGAGCTTCATATGCCAGTCGTTGGAGGTTTGGAATCAGGGTTTAGCCATCTCCCCTAGACTGTCATCCAATGGACATTCAACCCAGTGAAGAGCGCCGGGCGTCCGCTTTTGCCCTCCCACTTCGGTGAAAAACACCTCCGCCACGTGACGGCAGTGAGTAGGACTTCCTCAGGAGAGGCTATGTAAGACGCCCGGTCATATGGGAGCATTTCAAGAGGTGTACGGAGGGGTGGCTAACCCGCGGCGCAAGACACCCACCCCCGACCATCCTGAGGCTTTGGAGGCACAGAGGGAGAAAGAAGAATAAAGAAGAGATTCAGATGAACGATAATGAGAAAAAAATATGAGGGAGAAAAAACACTAGTGACATGAAAAGACAATAAGGTTTTAATGTATATGGCAAGTCACAAAGAGTGTATGGATTTGCACCAATGAAATCAATTTTGACCATTAGCACGAATTGTCGTCAGCTATTGGTTATTAGAATCGGAAGGCCCCAAACTAGACAGTCTATATCTTCCTACATGACCTGAACTAACTATCAAAGATTTTATGAACTGATTACAAGTTTGACCACCCACCACCTAGAGGTTTTCCAAACTGATCCATCCTATGTCAGCTAACATCACAACTAGTTGAATGGGGTACTCATAAGTTGTGCGAAAAGATAAAGATGTAGAGAGTAATAATGTATTATGAGCAGGCTGCTAGCCAATTGATAGACATTCATCTACGTCAATGTCTAGGTCACTAATATTGGCCGTGAGAAAATATGAACATGGCTAATTCAACAACCAATCACAGCAGACTTAACATGGGCAAATATGATTCGCAGATAGATGGCCTCACTTTCCGAGAAACCCGAAAACAACCAATCAGAAGACTGCGTTTGTCTACTTGAATAAGCTATAATAATGTACAGGAAATATATATAACTACGTGCTAATTTCGGTAATAAAAGGATCTGTTGCCTGACCCTTGTCTTCTGTTGTTAAAATAATAGTTCATCAACTATATAGAGAAAATCAAGTTTATAAGACACAAAATAATTGAGCAAAGAATATCCTTTTCGATAATTTCGTCTTCTGTCTCTACAATTATTTATATATATGTTTATATACATAGAATATTCTGGAATAGTAGATAATATCAATATTAGTGTTTTCTAAATAATATCGACTTGTTAAGTAAGACTAATGAATTTAAAGTTCATTGAAGATGCATATATTATAATAATATTAAAAATGTAAAAGCAAATAGAATACCAACTAAAATTAAGGAAATTTCTACAAAAAATTGAGGATCATTAGAACCTAGTAGATGGCCAGTGGGGTAAGGACAATGTCTGAACCAGCTTTTTTTGGACACATAAGTCAAACTTCTTAATGTGGATCTCAACGGCCAGTCTCAGCAATATTTAGTGGACAAACTCTTAAAGTGAAGTTAAGATTTGTTGTTATGTGGTAAATGACTTTGAAAACCTAGTTGACACCAATCCTGCGTTCTGCCTAGTTTCTCCACTTCCACGTGTATCTACTAATTTAACTGCTCCTGTGGAGCCAGTTACATAGGCGTACAATTAGGCATGTTTTTTGTCGAATTTCCAGACATCACCCTGCGTGGTGGTTAAGTTAATGGACAAACAAAACCCATTCATAGCGTTATTTTATCTCATCTCGTGAATACAGAACACAAGATTCCGGTTAACGAGGCGGCTTTCAAAGTCATCTACCTGACACTAACCAACTAATCTTAACTTCGCCTTAGGAGTTCGCTTTTGCTGTTGGGATCCACCTTGAGCAGTCTAACTTATGTGTCCAAAAGAAGCTGGTTCAGACATTGTCCTTACCCCACTGGCCATCTACTAGGTTCGAACGATCCTCTATTTGTTGTGGAAATTTCCTTAATTTTAGTTGGTATTCTATTTGCTTTTATATTATTATTATTATTATTATAATTTATGCATCTGTAATTAACTATAATTCCATTGGTTGTATATTTTTTGTTATCACCAGGGCAGTGCAAGATTCACCACTGTCTCTTTCTGCGTACATAGATTTGGTTTAAGTCATTTGATGGCAATTGCTTCAGCAAAGCGTAGCAAGCTAGGTTTCTTTTGCTTGCTGATTATTTTAAACGACTTAAGGTTGTCTACAATATGACCAGTGTCCAATAGATGATGAGCAATCGCACTTTTTAATGCTTGCGGACATTTCAGTCTCAAGTTCTTGTTCATGTTACCTCCAACTGTGTCTACCAATTTACATGTACGTGCCAAAGCAGATACATTGGAAGAACAGAGAGAAGGGGGGTGTTATTGTCCGCATTTATGAACACATACCAAAGAACTTGAGGCTGAAAGATCCGCAAGCATTAAACAGTGCTATCGCTCGTCATCTATTGGACACTGGTCATATTGTAGACAACCTCAAGTCGTTTAAAATAATCAACAAGCAAAAGAAACCTAGCTTGCTACGCTTTGCTGAAGCAATTGGTATATAATTGTAGAGCCAGAAGAGAAAATTATCGAAAAGGATATTCTTTGCTCAATTATTTTGTGTTTTACAGATGTCTGAATGAATATTTTCGTTATATTAAAATCAAATTTATTAAATACTTTTGAAATTATATCTCGTATGAAGACAACAGAAGTTAATTTCACTTAGTGTGCCTAACTAGTGCTCTCCTACACATGAATCTTTTTATTTTTTTTTCCTTGTCAGTAAATGACATTTTTTGTCGCTGCGATCATCATAATCATGAGCTTGGTAGAAAAAAAGCTTATTTTGATGAAAGTATCAATTTCATTGAAACAAATGCAGTTTGGAAAAACACACACACGTGAACTCGTTATTCTTTTTTTTTGTAAATGTTTCTATATGTATAGAAGAGAAAGTGTTTTTGGTGAATATCTAACGTCACAAACTGCACATTTCTAATTCCTAACTAAAGAACACTAAAAAGCACTAAAACTTCTCAAAAGTAATGATGACATGGTGATATGGAGATTGGATAAGGGCTCTGGGATGGCGTTGATAGACGACAAGGTTAGACTATATTACGAAGATGAAATCCATTCTCAACGACCCGCTGAGGCTTAAATTGGAAAATTCAAATCAGGGCAGGATTGATACAACTGAGAAATACATCACGAATTTATTGAAAGAACTCCTTACAGGGGAATGGATTAACAACATTACTTGTAATATTTTATTCAATTTTAGATTTTTCCGTCGATTGATTGAACTGAATTGCTTGGTCTCAGGTTGACATATTTGTTGGCTTCTTGTGCAGATGCTTTGACGATGTCTGGGTGTGTAGTTAGAAGTTAATTGCTGGATGGTGACTAACAGTAGAATCCCGGATAACGCACATTTCGTCCTATTTGAGACTCGTCATCTAGAATGCAGGTATACTAAGTGACGAGACCAAAATAGGACGAAGTGCGCATTCTGGTGTATTCCACTGCTAGTCACCCTCCACCAGTTAGGTTAGTACTTAACTTTGAGGGTCTCGTATACTTTACATATACAACCTACCAAAAATACCAAGCAAGATATTCGCCTTAGACCGATACTTTTTATTCTGAACTCATCTAAGGAAAAAGTTGCTCGTTGGCTTGCAGATATGTTGAAGCCTAATCGTCAACGTCTATTTCTGCATATACAATGAAACACTCTTTTTGCAGTGTTCTGTATTATCTCTTCGCTGGTTTGTCCTAGTCAGTTAGGTGCAACAGTAAAAACACCTTCTGGTGTTTCAATCAGACTACTTATAATTAAAGTCGACTTGGATACTTTGTACCTATTCTGGAAATTGTAGGATATCGCGATTAAATATCCAATAATGATCACAATAGTTTTCACCTAAATCTTGGAATTATGATAGTAGTCACATTGTATAATGAAGTCTTTATTTATGCTCAATTCATTTAATCTACTAAAATGCTGTTTTCACAAATATTTTTTATAGGTTAGCTCATCTACATCCCGTCAACCACGTCTTATGCTGTCAGTAAAAAATGGTTGGATGTATGGCTACAGTTTGTCAAAGGGAAGTCTTGGGGTAAGTCTAACTAGGGTGTATATGTGCTATATACATTGTCTTTGTCATCTGGATAATTTTTTCCTCATATAAAGGCACTTATTTTCTATAGCGATGCTTGATTCCATATGGAATAGTAAATTTACCTAGATATTTGTACTACTTATGAGTACTATAGTTGTTCTGGTTAAATCCCTTATTCCAACGCTTTTATGTCGTGTTTTTTATGAAATAGCAAACTCGTTTGTTGTCTGAGTGGATTCGCTGGTGTGCTCTCACTATAGAGCTTTGCATAGAAGTGCAGCAGTTCGAGTCACTACACTCCATTTATGACTCAAAGGGAGACGAAAAAGAGAGAAAAGAAGGAAAAGAGATTCGAAAAAACCATTGAAAACAATTCCTAGCCGCATAACCAACTGTCTCCACTATTGGTCCTGGACATCCTGAGGACCTACAAGCAATCAGGTAGTCTACACCTCCCTTAGTGGCTCAAACTAGTTGTCTAAGATTTCGTGGACTGATGCCTAGTTTCTGTTTAAACAACACTAGCTCTTTTTCAACCTAATCTGTCGTATGTCAGCTAAAATTGGCTGTCGAGAAAGATGTGTGTAACACATGTCCTAAACATCTCAATTGGTGCGACTTCACAACCTTGTTGATTGATTTCCCTTCCTTATCTAGCACCCTATTGAAGCCCAACCGCAATATTGCTCACCCTACTATATCACATAAGACGGGAGATAGAACGCAGACACCTTTGATGAAAAATAGCTAGTCAGGCTTTTCATTTCTTCAACTTTAAATTGTCATGTCTCACTCACAGCCATAGTGGAGGACGGAGGGAACTGTTGAGCGGTATATACGTCCTTTGAACGATAGCTAGATATCACGTGTACACCATAGATGGCGTAATTTGGCACATGCCACACGAGCCTTAATTGTGCACTATTAACAGGTTATTATTCCTGATAGGCTCCATGTTTTAATAACCGTTTGTTAGAAAGACCGATATCGTAAAGTTGAACGGAGATATGAAGTTAAATGTTAGCTAACCAGATCGAGTGTTTTCATGTATGTCAGTCTACATTTATTGTGTGCGCTCGCCCAGCCTTTGAAGTTAGTGCAGCGGAATGCGGACAAGGGGCCAGCTCATTGGAAGTCAGATGCTATAGCTAAATTTGTACATGTATCTATCATATACACACGTCATTTGTTCAACGTTAAACTTTATTGGCAGAACCTTTAATATTCAAGTATTGGTTTTGTAGGGATTTCGTTTGATTGTATGGAGAATTTCACCATGAGCTAACTTCAGTTAGGGAACCACTGGAAAACCTGGGAGTACTGGACAACTGTTTCGTCCTAGTTTGGGGCTCCTCATCAGTACGCACCCACCACGGTTCGAACCCAGGACCTTCTGGTTACAAGGCTAGCGAGCTCGTAAACCACTGAGCCACTTGGACCCGATCCAATGGTTCATGAATTCTAACTTCTGCCAATTCACGACATAGCGCGACCACTTCACAATGTCTTTTTCGGTGAGTTACTGCCCCATCTTTGACCTGCTGTACCCTACTGGTCACGGCTTCCCACTAGAACCCAGGTTAACTGCCTGAATAAAGCCAGTCGCTAGTGAGCATTAGATTAATTTTCAAGTATTGGTTTATTGTAGGGATTTTGTTTGATTGTATGGAGAATTTCACCATGAGCTGACTTCAGTTGGAGAACCACTGGAAAATCTGGGAGTACTGGACAGCTACTTCGTCCTGTTTCGTTTCGAACCTTTAATAAAAAATCTTATCTCAGAGTTGATCACATAAAGCATTCGATATATACATCCCATTGTAGTAAAAGTATGTTCTGTCTCTTCGAAAGGAAAATATTTTTTGCAAAAAGAAATTACTTATTTTGACGAAAGTTACTTCGATTGTCAATCGCTAGTTACGTAATTTCCTTAATAATCTATACCGGTACTATCCTCTGTAATGTATTAAATTCTCATTAATGTTTTCATTTGTTTTGCTTGGTGTACATTTTTCTTCAGATTCCCCAGGTCCTATTGATAATTCAGATATCTTACCGTGTAATTCATCAATTTATCGTTGTCGTAATCATTCTTCATCATTTTCGTCTACTCCACTTGGTAATTATGAATGTTTATCCGCCGAAGTTTGGAATCTATTATTTAGCATATATGGTGGAGGTCCAACTCTATCTGTATGCGGAACTCCATATCTATCAGTGAATACTATCGATGAAGGATTAATTGATTCTTCCGGTCAAAGTTCTTCCGATCAATTATCACAACAAAGTTCATCGAAGAATCCTTCTCCTGAGCCTCAGTTGTTGCCTGTTCAGCAAAGTGAAAAAGTAAGATGAAAACGAAAAAAAACTGTTTTTTAAAAGAAATTTGGATACTTTAGTTATTCTGCATTATTTTTCACATTTTCCTATTCTTCTTCTTCACCTCTTTCATCTCTACATGAGTATTTGGAAACATTTCTTTTGTTGCTGTGAAAATGTGACTGTACAGCTTGACAATGATATCAGTGAAATCCAGGATGCTCATTTCGTTCCACTTGGGACTCGTCAGCTGCTGGATGTACCTGGATTCCGCAGTGAGTGGTGATGTCTTCACTGAGGCTCGAACCCCAGTGCTCATAGTTTCACACGCCAAAGTGTTATCCACCAGACCACTTGGGCCACGAGAGCCACTGCCTTTTGTGCAATGGGTCATTTTAATTATTTAATTCAATTTTAGGGCACTGGGTTCGAGCCTGGGTGGTATCTATGGTCGGCCTGCAAAATTTGGGCTACCGATATCCACGCTGAAAATTCCATACTTGTACCAAAAATACGGTGTTGAATCAAGCTGTAATCAAAAAAATAAAAAAATAAACATCATGACTCACTGTGGAATGCAGGTACATCCAGTAGCTGACATCTCCAAATAGGACGAAATGTGCGTTATCCTGGATTCCACTGTTAGTCACTATCCACCACTTAACTCCTAATTACATGCCCAAACATCATCGAAGCATTTGCACACAAGAAGCCGACATGTCAACCTAAGACCGAACACTTTGGTCCAATCAGTCGATGCGAAAATCTAAAATTGAATTAAATGAGAATTATATCGCTGAAAGTAGTAAATATGTCTTGAATGTTTTTGAATGTCTTTTCTAATATATTAAGTTTCTATAAAAGAAATATAGTGAGACTATCTCCAATTTGACTGGACACTAATCAGTGACTAATGCATGTTGTGTCCAGTCCTTTGTTTTTGGTGCAGACTGAATTCTAAAATTAATCAAGTTTGCAGTATGGCCAGCTTTCTCAGTGGCTCGTGATCATGGTGAACTTTGAATTGTTGACATTAGGTGATTTGAGGCAGTCGGTTCAGTAGTAATGTCTCTGACTTCAGCACTGGTTGACGTGAACTTGAATCTCAGAAGGGACATGAATTCCTTCAAGGTTTAAGATGCACCTAGCTGACGAAATCTAGGTAGGTCTGGGCTTCCTGCCGATCGCATCCAACCATCTAATATCAATCTCTTATTTGGTTAACAGCTACATTGCCTTGCAATAGAAATGAAAGTTGGACATTACCTTCAATTCACTATTCTCAGATTACTTCACTACTTGAAGGCTGGATTACTACCCGGGTGCCCAAACTGAAGCATAAGTGATGGTCGCCTTAAAAGATCATCTTGAAGCTTTACTTGAAGTCTAATCCATACGACAGTGGATCAGCTGCGTTTCCACGATAGCTGATGACCTTAAACAAGTTCATACGCCATTTGGTCCGTTCGGATTGTGTAGCCTATTTCTAACTCCCCTAGATAATAAAACTGAATGTCCACCAGTCCAGTTTTAAGTGACAGACGTTCGCATTCATTCTCCCACTTTTGTGTGGAATACCCTCAGCCCATGAAGGCAGCGAACAGGACTTATCTGTCAGGGTCTATGAACGTGTGCTCACATGAGAGAACACTTTGGGAAGAAGACCGAAGTCTACTCCTCCTTGGTCGTATCAGGTTGTTTTCGAGGAAAGTGGGCAATGCATACCAATATTATCCACCTAAACTACAAATCTTCCTCATCACATCTAAATTACCTACGTTAATGTAATACATATTCTTACATTACTATTATATTTCTTAGTTTATTTATTATCCAGACTGTTATCAGCTTTCATCCCGTACTTTTTACAACTTTTTCTCATTTTCAAGGAATTTCCTATACAGACGAGTAATGGTGTTGTTATCAATGAAGAAAATGTCTCTAATGGTTTAGATTGGTCAGAAAACACATCCAACTTAAATCAATGGCAATTAATAGATAATACCGACTGGACGACAAATCCATCAATTAATCATCATCCAGTCTTAACCAATGGTAATGATTGTCATCTCGAGATCTCTGATCGTGGAGATGGTAGCTGTGAATCGATTGAACAACAATATTCTATGCATAAAAGCAGTTCGCCTGAAGTTGAACAAGTCAATGGAATTTATCATCCTGTCAATACATCAGAAATATTAACTACTCAAATAATTCCTAATGGGGGAAACTCTGTGCCTACCACTATTACTATTACTGATAAAGCGGAACCATACAAAATTATCACCTCTTCTGGAGATTTTGGTGATTATGATCCAAGCCAATTATTGATTCATAAGAATATATCTAAAAAGTCAAATATAGTCATCAAATCGATTAAACGTGGGTCAAATAAACGTCGGCGGTTAACTCCTACAAAAGCATAACCAATATACACACACATACACATACCTAATTTCCATTGAAATTTAATTATTTTATTTTATTGTCTTTGTTGTGAATAACGCTAACGCTACTGTGATTTTGTTGTTTTGCTTCTGACTTTCTCTGGGTGGGTGAAAAGAAAAGAGTCGATTGCACTGCTCTCTCTGACATCTTTTTACAATGCAGTGTAGAGTATTTCCCCCGGCCCCCACACCCACACACCCAATGAATAACTTCTTTGTGTGAACATATAACTTTTAGTGTGTATTTACCTTTCTTGTATTTATCTATCTATTTGTTTATTTCTACTGACACATTGTACTTTCAAATAACTCAACACAGTCAGTCAGGTGTTGTGGAAACTTGACGCGTTTTATATTTTAAAAAAACATTTTGTATAGGTTACTACTTCATTAAAACAGGTATCATTCTCAGCTAACTGAGTACTGCTAATATCACTAATAATAATAGTAACATCCGGATCTGATGATCATAAATCCCTTCATTTCATGTATCATTTTCACCCCGCCCCTACCCTGCACATTGTTCATCCCACTTATCAGCCCCCCCCCGCAAAGCAATACGAGTAATCCTCCTCTCCTTTTTCTCCCACCTTCATTTTATGGGAAACATTTAGTGTTCAAGCGACGTATTCCTATTCTCATTATGGTTTTATATTCTAGGGTGTTGCTTTCTGTGTAGATGAAATGCGGTTACTAGAATATAAGTAATACCATTACTACTACTGACAATGGAAATAAGTAGTAAAAGTTCTGATTCCGTTTTTTTCAAATTGTCATTGTTATGCCGTGACGAAAATGGCAAATGTACTTTCATCATATGGAGACAAGATGTTTCACATTATTATGTATGTATGTGTGTGTGTATAGATTTAAAGTATATCCATGTTGTATATGTATTTAAAGTTAAGTCAAACATTCTATTATCATTATTATTATTATTATTATTATTACTGCCATTATAATATAATTAATATGTCAAATTATTACATAATCTCTAAATATACTAACATCTATTGTATTCATTTCCCACACCCCTTGCTGCTTTATTTTTTTCTTGTCTGTTCCACTGTAAGGAACAGGTGAATATTGACACTGTACAATTAATTACTTGTGTCCAGTGTATCCCAGCGTGTGAAGAACTCCACTTTCTTGTGTTATGTGTATAATCATTATTTAATTGTCTGTTTGTTGGTTTTTTTTCTTAATGATCCTCTCTGATCTAATTCATTTGTTTGATAATGAATTCTGCTGCGTTTATGCTGACTTCCCTTTTGTTTGTTTGTGCGCTTGTTTATTTTCCCTTCAAAATTTACAAAATAATAAATATGACTACTCTTCAGGATTTATTTAAGTATATATATATATATATATATATATATATATATATATATATATATGATAATTTAGTTAACCAACTCACTAACTACTAACTTACTGGTGTGACTTCATTGTATATGTAGAAAGAAGTGTAAACCGCTAACAGACAGAAGATATGCTATGTGATAGGATGTGTTCAGTGTGTGCCCTTGTGTGTATGTGTGTGAGATAGAGAGTATTTCTGCGGCCTTCTTGTCGGTTTTGTTTAACGCAGACAAAAGACAACTAGGCAGCAAATGTATTCTTATTACGTTAGAAGAGTAAAACAGTTCTTGGGTTGCATTGTTATATTCTTCTTCCTGTAAAAACCAAATACAAGAAATCGGTTTGACTGACTGTTTTTTTTGCTATTTTAATATATTTTGAGTTGCAGTTAATAGTGTTCTTTGAGCTGGTTGGTTTAGTTGCGGAGCTTTCGTCGTCCACCTTCTGGACAACATCCCTCTTCAGCGCAGTTTTCAGCATAAAGTGAAATTGTTATGTAGTTCTGCTGAGTGAGTTATTAGCGTTTTCCCCGTCGCCAATTATGTTATGTACTGTTGAGTAGTTAATAGTCCTGACGTGGAAAGAGGGTAATCAGAGGACCACCAGGTTTACGATGATACTTGTATTTTCCAGACAAGGAAAATAAATGTCACACTAGTGTGAGTGAAAGGGTACTTGTGTACGAAATGTGTGTGAACCAGAATAATGTACAAGTGTCTAATACAAAGGTATATATGAAACTGGCTAATACACATGAACCAATAAATAGCCAGTTTTAACATGATTGGTTATAATGTCATGTGATAATAAGGTCATACATTGTTATTTAGTTAGTGGACAGACAAAAGCATAATGCCAGTTATAATGAAATATCGATCCATTTACACATAACAAAATATAATAGACTGTCAAAAACAAAACACACATCATGTGGATACATACCAGAAATGATTTAAATTTTTCATGAGTGATAGAATTGCGTCTCCCGTCTCTTTATATAGGTATTGATCATTGGTAATTGACTTGGAATTTAAACTTTCTGGTCACCTGATTTACTTTTTATCAGTTGGTAAATTTGGTTTATATTAACGTGTTTGTTGATCGCACATTGGTTTGAGTTCTATGGTTCTAGGAATTCCCTGAGTGCACTTTTGGTGTTTCCTCTATCTAAGATTTCGACATTATCCAAATCAAACTGATGTCCATAATTGTCTATATGCACTGATATGAAAGGATATGTATCGTGTGTTTTCATATCAATCCATATAGACAATTATGGACATCAGTTTGACTGGGATAATGTCGAAATCTTATGCATTTATTCCCCTTGATGAATTGGAATAAAGCAAGAGCAACAGTGGTTTGTGTAGAATAATATGGTACCATCATTTATTTCGTCGGCTTCTCATCAGCTGCTTGCTTACAGCCTAAATAAATTATGAGGTTTAAGTACAGAAACGTTTTAACATACTTTCAAATTTTTTTCATGGTATCAGTTGACAGAAAGTTCCTTAAATTAGTGAACAGTTCTCAGAAAATTGCGCTTATACAGTTTTTACACAGGCAGTTGAAGTTTAAAATAAATAAATGCAGACAATGGTAAAGGAGTTACGTAATAAAGACGAGAGATGCGTGTAAGGTGCAGAGTGACTAATAAATTAGGTGACAATGTAATGAGTTTAACTCAAATGATATAAACAAGAGACAATCAAAATTACAAATTATAAAAGGGAGGTGAGGTTAAAGACGAAGATTGCGTAATCAAATGAGAGAATAAAGACATCCAGTTACCAGGGCAAGTAATGACTAATATCTGCTTCTTTCTGAATACATAAATCTGGTTTGGAGCGTTTGATAGAAATAGCCTCGGAGAACTTGAGGTTAATCGAGCTCCTTTGTCTATTGATAATTTTGAAGGATTTCTCGATTTCCACCTTATGACCCGTATCGAGGAGAGATGTCTGGTAATAACGCTTCTATAAGAGTTTGTTCCCTTGAGACGGAGGCTTTTTGTCTTATGCTCAGAAAATTGGAGGTGTGCCCTTCTTTCTGTTCTCCCAATGTAAATGCTCCCGCAGATACACTTAAATTTGTACACACACATGAGATGGGTATCTATCGACTTTTGGCTGCACCAAAGAGCATGTTGTTCGATGGACCGGAGCTACAAGATAAACTCTGGATAATGACGTACTCAGTCTTCTGTTGACCATTGCTGCAATGTTTCCAACTTTAAAACCTAGTTAAATGAAGACAGGCTTTTTTCAACTGTGATTTGTTTGGTATTTGAGCCTTCAGATCTTCCATATTTGTTGATGAATGTTTGAGGATAACCGTTGTTTTATTATATATTATCCCAGACACTGGTAACGATGAGAATGCTGCTCACACTGCCTTGTGGACCAAAGTCTTGGTGGGGTGGAGGATCGGTTGGCTCTTCAAGACAACCACCACCTATTTCGATCTGAGCGTTATTCAAACCCTTGCACAAACTATTGTTAGAATATATGTGGCGTCTGTAATCTATTAAGTTCGTGTTTTAGTAATCAATAATTACCATAATACTCAACACCTGTCAAATCAATCTAAATGAAAAACGAAGGGGTCTGTTAAAATAAACAAAACGATGAAGAATTTAACAATAAGTATAACACTACAGTTGGCAATATTCTTAGTCAAGAAATATCGGGGTAGGTTAAGAGTAACAATAAATTGTTTTTGTATATACAGAGGGTGGGCCGTAAGTTTAGGGATAGCTGTCACCTGCGCGCATTTCACAAAGCGTTCTCTGACTGTTTTGATATCACTTAAGTGTTTAGGTATAGACGAAGTTGACAGTCTACCACCTACATTTATCGATATTTTGCAGTTCATCCGGTTTCCTAGTCATTTAGGTATATGTTCACCCACCCTCACGCACAAAGCTCGAATACTTCTCCGTAGTATGTGTGGCCACATACACACAATCACGTGTGTCCTATTAAAGCTTGTAGCACAGCATGCTTTTGGCTTTTTCAATAATTAAAAGTCGGGTTACATAGTAGCTACCACGGGTGACCGAGTTTAGTCACTGTCTTAAAATCCTACTATTTATTTCTCTTAACATCAGAGTATTCGAGGGATCAGTGATATATACCGTTGTGTGCTGAAGTGACATTAAGACTTGACCCAAATCCAGCATTATCCTGATCAAGATATTTTGGTGACGGGGTATTATATCATAACCTGAAATTTTGAACAGGTCCAGTTGTTGATGTTACGACAGCAACAAAAGTACTATGATTAGTCTCAAATGAAACTGATTGTAGCTCTTACTAATAATAGTAATGTGCGTCGGTGGCACAGCGGTTAGGACGCTCGCCGACCATGCACATGTTCCGGAATTCGATTCCTGGCCGACTCACTCCTTCACCTCTCTAAGCCACTAATAAAGCTGTTAAAGAGGAAAGGTTAGGCATGAGGCTGGCAACCCCATCCCGTAAAAATAAACACTACTACAGAATCTTCAAGCCTCTAGCTTGAAGCCCTATGTTCCACTGGGGAATGTGAAGGAAAAAAACTAATAATTTATCAGTTTAGATAACAAACTGATTTTAGTGAGAGAACTGCTGTAAACCAGGGAGTATAGGGCAGCTGTTTCGTCCAAGTCTTAGACTCCTCGTCAGTCCGTACCACCAACTTCACTGGGAATCGAATCCAAGACCTTCAGGTTACGAAGAAAACCCATCGACCTATCGGTCACTTGGACGGAATCTACTGTTGAAGTTCCCCAAACTAGGATGGAACAGTGGACAGTACTCACTGGTTTTTACGGTGGTTTTCTATCTGAAGTTAGCTAGTAATCTACTTGGAAATCAATGAAATCCCTACAAACCAACACTCGATAATAAAATGTTTTTGTAGTCACCTTGTCATCCCTGCACTGACTAAATTTATTACGTCCAAAAGTATTCTATAGAATTTATTTATGTCTCTGATGTCCGACGTGTGGTGAGAGCTGTCTGCAAGGCATAATTGCTAACAACAATTTACGTCAATGTTTACGTCCCAAATCGGGGACAAGAATAAAGACTAACTTTAAGGAACTCAACAACCAATCACATCAGACTTGGCATGGGCGGATACGATTCGCAGATACATCACCGGACTGTTTAAGAAAAGGCAACAAAGAGACGACAATAACCTTCAGTCGGAAATAGACCAATCAGAAGACGCTATTTCTCTGCTAACAATAACGCTAATAATAATGTACATAAAAATCTATAAATATCTGTTGATTTTCTCAATAAACGATCTATTACCTGCCTCTTGTCTTCTGTCATTACAGGCATACTTTTGATTTTTGGTTTGGAAGATTTCACAGTTAATTTAAAATGTAACTGGTTGAGCTGGATAGTGATAGGATCCAGCATAAAGTAGTATGTCATCCTTTATTACGAATCATGTGATTTCTCTCGTGATGGAGTTACTATGTGGATGTATCATTTCTGACGCATATTGTGGTTTAGTGTGTGACCAATTCATCGTCGTTTGTCTCACCTTCGTCTTTGTCGGATCACCAACCAATAAGAATAGACATTCGCAGTCAGAAAGAACAGTCCATTCCCACGGCTGTCACCCAACTGTATTGTGTTAAATTAAATATATAAATACGTTGTGGTTTGTTTCCTAATAGATGTCCCATACAATCTCTTACAGTCACAGACTAGCCTCTGTCTTCTTGATATTTGTGTGGCTCAGTGAATCAGAAGGTGCAACAGACAAATTAACGGACGTATTAGCGTAGCAGTCGAGTTGATTAGCGTAATAGTAATCAATAGGCACACAGACATAACAAAGTAGCAAAAAGATTTATTCAGATCAGTTCAGTTATAACAAGTTGGCGACGAGGTCTTTTCAGTTCAGTTAAACACATAGTCAAGAATCCTGTCGTCAGTTGTTGGTCCTGTGGAGGACGGCCGTATGATCTTATAAGCTCATACAAGACACAAAAGTGTAGAAAATGCCACTCCTTAGCTTGATAGTACTCACTCAAATGTATCCAGTAATAGATTGGTGTCCATTTCCAGGACGAAGACCAAGGCAGTCTTGCTTAAACTTCAAAAATCTCAGTATTCATAAATGACCATCCAGTTTACCTTCATCGCGAGGTTTCTTCGGACTTAACGTCGATCTCCTAGGAAACGTGGCATCACTCTTAAAGTCCACCGGTTTCCCCTACATTTCATGTTTTTAAAAATGCTTCCGGAGGCAATTTAAGCTTTTAGTGAAATCACTTAGGACGTCAAATTCACGTCAAAGAAATTTAAAGGATTGTTTTATCTTATGAATAGTCATGATGTGGAACTCTTCGATACTGGTTGAATCATTGGCTAGCGGTCGCGCTATGTCGTGAATTGGCAGAAGTTAGAATTCAAGGAC